CCTGTTATGCCAATGCCATACTGTTTTGATTATTGTAGCTTTATAACATAGTGATATCTTTCTCATAAAACTGTTAAAGAATAAAAATTAATGGAATAAATTTGTCCAGCCTGTTTTCTTTGCCTTCTGGCATCTCTTTTCTCTAGCCCCCCCTCTCCATTTGGCCAACTGCTAGTAACATTTATGTCTAGAAGGAAGGGTCTAATTGAGTCATTATTTCCAGAGTTCCCTGCCTCAAAAGGCTTCCCACACAAGCTCACCAACAATAAAATGTTAATGTAGCCAGATTGAAATTTTATCACACAACGTCACAGATGTGCAAGGAAAATGTCGGAGATGAAACTCAAAATGACCAATTAAAGTATCTCACTCTCCTAACTGAAGACAGTCTCATTCCAGGTAATAGCTCCCTATTAGAGCTGTTTCTCTTCCTGTTTTGTCCTAAGAGATGTTATCTGGAAGGTGGTGCTTCGGTGACCTCATGGAGGCTCAGAGCCCATGCTCTTGTCTGGATTGTCACAAACCGGTGCGGCAAGTCTGCTAGTACGATCTTGTCCTGGAGCTGCCAGTCCCACAGTGTGCTCCCCTGGGCCTGTCCCTCCCCCACTCCTGTGGTCGGCAGGAACTTTTCTTGCATCATATTTGACTCCTTACCAAGATGAAATTTGTAAACAGTACTTCCCAGAGGCCTACTCGCAGAGTGGCCAATGGACAATATCATTTCTAGGATATACATGCACACAGACAATCACACACACACACACACACACACACACACACACACACACAAAATCTTTGTAACATCACTTTGCTCTCCTTTTTCATTGTCCATTGTCTGAGTAACACCCTCGGAAACCTTGTGGAAAAGGGATCCTGGAATTTGGGGGTATCCCAAATGAAGTCAAGCTCTTACAGGTAATTTCTTATAATACTTCTACATGTGGCTTTATTTCTCATTATATTGTACTTTACCATACTCTCCCAACAATACCCCCAGGAGGATGTTAGGGAAATTTCCGTTTTGCTTTTTCCAGTAAAGGCCAGTGTCCACAAGAGGACATGGCACAGGCAGGTGCTCAGTAAATATTTGTGGAATGAGTGAAAGGCTGACCGCATCCGCAGTGTAGGGATTCATCCAGTCCAACTCTCAGGGCAGTCTTGATTCCCTTACCTCCAGGTCCTTGCAGAGCAGCCCACAGAAACTCAGGTACTGCCCTCAGCAATCACCAGCTTGGAGGTGGTAATTGAAGCAATGGATCATGGTGTGGTATCTTGGGAAGAGCCAGAAAGAAAACAAATGGGGGGCCGAAAGCAGACCTAGAGCAGCAGTTCTCAAATTTTTTAAATGTCAGAATCAACTTTAAAAATTGTTGAGGACTCCAACGAGTTCTCTTTCTATGAGTATGTCAATATTTATTGCATTAAAATTCAAATCAAACTTAAAAATATTAATTTACTTAAAATAGCAACCAAAAATGCATTACATGTTAGCATGAATAATATTTTTATTTAAAATGTAGCCATATTTCCTAAAAACAAAAGTTAACAAGAGGAGTGGCATTTGCTCTTTTGCAAATCTCTTGTCTTGTGTCTGGCTTACCAGAAGGCAGCTGGATTCTCATATCAGCTTCTGCACTCAATCTGTTGAGATATGTTTTGGTGGAAAACATGTATTTGAAAAAGGGAGGATCTTGGGGACTCAAATGTACTCTGATCATAAGGAAAAAAGTTCTCTGACCACATTCTGAAAACTCCTGTCCCACAGCAACTGTTCTTACAGAACCCCCCGCCCTCCAGAGACCCCAGGCCCTGATAATATCAATAGAACAGATTCCTGTTTCTCACTCCTTCTACCTCCAGCCTCTTTGCTCGGGATTGTGCAAGTCCTATCAATAATGTTTTACCAATAACAGATCAAACAGCTGGGAGCCCTGAGCAGGAAGGCTGGGTAAGGTGCTGGTCTGGGGTAGAAGGGAGTGGACTAGCCCTCCTAGAAAGGGGCTGAGGGAAAGAAATCACGTCCTGTGTTTTCAGGAAGGAGAAGAGGTTACAAAGTTCAGGCACATTTATGAACAAACATGTCTTACTGCCAGGGCTGCAAAACGGAAACAAACCAGGAAGCTCAACCCACTGGGTACAAGTCCAAGGAGCAGGCTCTCAGAGGGGGAGGAGCTGGTGCACATAATTATGTCTCTACCTCTGCACCTCCTCAGGCCTAATTGGCAGGGTCACAGCTCTGTCAACATTGAGAAACCGATGGAAAGATAGCAGAACCCACCAGGTGCAGCTCTAAGACTTGTACATTCTGCCCTAACCGGTTTGCCTCGGTGTATAGAGCATCGGCTTGCGGACTCAAGGGTCCCAGGTTTGATTCTGGTCAAGGAAATGTACCTTGGTTGCAGGCACATCCCCAGTAGGGAGTGCGGGAGGCAGCTGATCGATGTTTCTAACTCTCTACTTTTTTCCTTCCCTCTCTGTAAAAAATCAATAAAATATATATTTAAAACAAAAAACAAAAAACAAAAAAACACCAAAAACTTGTACATTCTCAGCATGTTGGAATGGCCTTGCTACCATGGTAGAAAGGTTTCAGGCAAATACCTGTTTATAAACCCTTCACCAGGAGCCAGCACCACTACTAACACTTTCACTGTGTACCTTGCGTACAACCTGCTTTATAAGGGAAGGTACAGGCAGTCGGCTGTCAGTAGCCCTGGCCTGGCCCCAGATGACACTCATCTTCCATCACAAGCAGCCCAGCTTTACCTGGAAAAGTGTATGGATACGTAGACATGAGTGGTTGCATGGTCATCTGTGAGTAGACTGTGTGCTGCTGTAATTAAAGGCAAGAGCCACACCCTGGAACCTTTTAATAAACGGATAACAAGTCCTAACTTTGTACTTAGAACTTTCCAGTGCCGTTTCTTAGATACTAAGGAGTAACTTACCATTTCTACTGCAGTTAGTGACTGCGATGCCTTCTGCATTATTGCTCTGCGTTGCTATTTGGGTGGCCTGGGACACTATCTTGTTTGGCACAGCAATCTCCAAGTTTCAAATAGCATGTGGTACCTATTGTAGAAAGCACTTCAGTGGTTTTTAGTGAATGAATTCTGGTGGTCTTGTTTAATGTGTGCCAAAAACGTCTGCTTTTCATATATTATACCATTTAATGAAACTGTTCATGTAATGCTTATCTTCCCAAGAACGTATACAAGCTTTTTGAAAGCAGGAAAATGAATACTTGTGGTTATTTTTAGACATTCTACACAGCACCCTATGTCAACCTATGTTATGGGAATGTTCCTCAAATTCATCTAAAAGACATGTTTTTATAGTTTTAAAAGATATATCTATTTATCATATTGCTACAAGGTTTGACTGGCTTATTTTTTCTTTTAAGCCCCCCTAATGGTTTCAGGGTAGAGAAAGTTATTAGTTTTTTATCTAATAATGGCCCCTGTTATTCAGGAAAAGGTCAAGCTAAAAGGTATATTCCTGACTATCTATTATGTAACAAAATTGGGCTACATAAAAAAGTCTATGTTTAGCATACTAGGTGCCCAACATCATTTCCAACCAGACACGCTCTGCTTTTATCTGTTTACCATATAAAGGGTTCCACATATTTTTTACCTAAGTCAGGGCAGCAATGCCCACAAAGTAAGATGTGGTATTTCAATGAAAACCTTGATAGACATTAAAATAGCAGATGAGCTAATTAATGGGGAACCAGACAGAGAAATTTCCCACCTAGAAAGAGAAGCATTCGATGTCTCTGCAAGAACTCACTCTACCTATTAGCTCAAAGGAAAAGTATAATATTTTTTTTTTTAAATATAACAGCTTTCCTGAAGTGAATTCACACTCCATAAAATCTATACTTTTTTGCCCCCCAAGAACAGAGGTAACTTTATTGTCAGGGAAGGGAAGCCCTGCACCCGGCCTGTCTGGGGTCCTTCCTCCGCCTTCACAAGGCAGGCCGGGGTCTCGGGGGATGGGGGAATGAAAGGGGGCTGGAATGGGCTCCTGATCTTACAGGGCCCCAGGCAGCCTCAAGGACAGCCCAGGCCTGGCTGAAACACCATTTCATTGTATGGATATGCCAAATCTTGTGTATCCATCCATGAATTGATGGACATTTGGCTATCATAAATAATGCTACTCTGAACATTTATGTATCAGTTTGCGTGGACAGATATGCTTTTGATTCTCTTGGTTGTGTACTTCAGTGTGGTACTGTTGGGTCATCAATAACTCTATGTTTAACAATTTGAGAAACTCATAAACTGTTTTTTTCCAAAGCAGCGGCACCATTTTTTTAACCCCACCAGCAGCGCATAAGAGGTCTAATTTCTCCACACCCTCACCAGCACCTGCCATTCTCTTCTTTATTCTAGCTCCTTTGTGCTCAGGGCACCGGTGTAACTTGCTCCCCGCAGGCAGACAGCATTCCTGGTGCCCGGGGAGCAGCAGCCGCCCGCAGTGTCTAGGCAGTGTTTCCCAAACTTTTGACATATGTGTACCCCTTATATAATTTTCGTAACGCTGAGTACCCCTCGTACTCATGAGAACGTAGAATTAGGAGCAGCTAAGCACGGTGCAGTGCACACCCCCACCAAACCCTGGTGCAATGCGTACCCCCGCCAAACTCTTCCCATACCCCTGGGGGTACGCATACCACACTTTGGGAAACAATGGTCTAGGCTAGGGAGAGGGGCGGGACAGGCTCTGAGGTGTCTGGTTAGATAGAGTAAGGTGACCAGACGTCCCGCTTCTGGCGGGACAGTCCCGATTTTTGTTAACAAAAGCGGGACGTCTGGTCACCTTACCTTAGAGGCCCTGCTGGGTCCCCCTTCTAGCTGATCAGCTTCTTCCCTGAGTACGTCCTGCAGACGGAACGGGTCCTGGAAAAGGCTCGGCTGCATGGAGAGTCCTCCACGGCGGGAAACATCCAAATCCCCACCCGGGGTGTCCTTGCCCCGCGAGGCGGGCGTCCTCCCGGGGAGCGGCAGAGGGGACCGCGCCGGGGCCTGGAGCCCGCGGGCAGGGAGGCTGCTGCGCGCGGCCCGGCCGGCAGGGGGCGTGGGACCCGGAAACCCCAGGCTTGTCTTCGCCTGCAGACGGAAGCTGCCGCAGGCCCGGCCCTGCAGACCTGGCCTCGCCCCGAGCCTCCGGGGCCTCTCCCCGCCGCTCACAGGCCCTCCTGGCTTCACGCTCAGGGTCCTCGGGGGAGGGCAGCCTCTTCCTGGAGCCCCACCCAGACGTCCTCCAGGAGGAGGCATCCTCCTCGGACCCTAGCACCCCATCTCCGGCTCCCGGAGGGGACTGGTCTGGCAGCGGAACACCCCCTCGCGCTCAGAGTCTTGTGGAGGCCGAGCTCCATCCAGGTCCGGCTCCGGGCCCTCCGGCCGCAGCAGCGACCCGCCCGCACCGAGCGAGGTCTGTGCCCGCGTCCGCCCCGCCGCCCGCTCCCTCCGCGGCCAGGCCTTGGTTGTGTCCGGGTCCGGGGGTGTCTCCCCGCCGTGCTGGGGAGAGGGTGTTCAAGGAACCCCAGCATCTGCCTGCCTGGAACGGACTGGGTGTGCCCGAGGGGCAGCGGGTGGGGGTGCAGAACTGACAGATGCAGGTCTGTCCGCCCTTCTTGCTGGGGCTGCTGTGTGAGGGGCGAAGGCGGGTGTGTGTGTGTGTGTGTGTGTGTGTGTGTGTGTGTGTGTGTTAGGGTTAGGGTTACAGAGCTTCTCAGGTTCAGAACAGTGTGTAGGAAGTTGTTTGTACACGTGGGCAATGCTTACACTTAGAGGAGAAGGCCAAATATAGGAAACTACAAGAAAACATGAGTAATTCAGAGAAAGTAACAGTACATAGTTGAGAACTGGTGTAGATCAGGTGGAAAAGACTTCTCCAAGTCAGTCGTTAGTGTAGAAAGGGGAGATGTGTAGGTGTCAGGTCTTGAGGATTTGCTGCTCCTGGGCATGCCCAGGCTGGGGGGCACCCTTGGGTCCCTTCTCAGCGGCCAGGCTGGTTGTACACCTTCTTTTTAAAAATATATATATATTATTGATCTTTTTACAGAGAGGAAGAGAGAGGGACAGAGAGCTAGAAACATCCATGAGAGAGAAACATCTATCAGCTGCCTCCTGCACACCCCCAACCGGGGATGTGCCCACAACCAAGGTACATGCCCTTGACCGGAATCGAACCTGGGACCTTTCAGTCCGCAGGTGGATGTTCTATCCACTGAGCCAAACCGGCTTTGGCATGTCCACCTTCTTGATTCAAAGCTTGGGCAACCCCACAGCCTGCACATCCAGTTCCACCTCCTAGGCCTGGGGGTAGGCAGGGGCCTCTGATGGCTGAGCGGAGGGTGGCAGGCCCGGAGCGGGGCCGCAGCCTGGAGCTGCCCTTCGTGGGCCGCACAGTGTAGGGCGCCAGAGGGTGTCTGAGGAGAGCCGGGCAAAATTTATACTGTTAACGTTTACAGTTCAGTGGAGTTTAGTAAACTTATAGAATTATATAAACATCATCTAATTTTGAAACATTTTTATCAAAACAAAAACTTAGTTTTTAATCCCCAAAAGAAACCCCATGCTCATTAGTAGTCACTCACTATTCCCTATTTCCCCCAAGCCCTTGGTATCTACTAATTTACTTCTTTCTCTATGAATTTACCTTTTCTGGACATTTAATATAAATGAAATTTACAATATGTGGACTTTTATGTCTGGCTTCTTTCACTGAGCACAATGTTGTTGTTGTTGTTGTTGTTGTTGTTTAATTGATTTCAGAGAAGAAGGAAGAGGGAGAGAGAGAGACATCAATGATGAGAGAGAATCATTGATTGACTGCATCCTGCATGCCCCCTACTGAGGACTGAGCCTGCAACCCTGGGCATGTGTCCTTGACCGAAATCAAACATGGGACCCTTCAGTCTATAGGCCGACACTCTGTCCATTGAGCCAAGGCTGAGCATAATGTTTTCAAGGTTCATCCATGTATTGCTTATATCAGTATTTTATTCCCTTTTATAGACAAACACTATTCCATTGTATGGATATGCCAAATCTTGTTTATCCATCCATTAATTGATGGACATTTGGCTATCATAAATAATGCTACTCTGAACATTTATGTATCAGTTTCTGTGTATAGATATGCTTTCAATTCTCTTGGTTGCATACTTAAGGGTGGTACTGTTGGGTCATAAATAACTCTGTTTAACAATTTGAGGGATTAATAAACTGTTTTTCCAAAGTAGCAGCACCACGTTTTCACCCCACCAGCAGCGCATAAGAGCTCTAATTTCTGCACACCCTCACCAGCACCTGCCATTCTCTTCTTTATTCTAGCAAGCCTAGTGAATGTGAAATGCTATCTCTTAGTGGTTTTTATTTGCATTTCACTAATCCTATACAATAAAAGGCTAATATGCAAATGGTCGTGATGCTCACGCTGTAACAACTGATCAGCAGGAGGCTGCATGTGCAGCAGGCGTGGGTGGGCGAGGCTGCATGTGTGGTAAGGTGCACATGGGTGGGTGGGGACTTGATGCCCAGCGCCGGCAGGGGACATGATGCTGCGTTATTTTTCATATACATTTTACTAATTTTTTCTCATCTCTGACACTTCTGTTATAGAGAAAGGGCAAATAGCAATATTAAAGTAGTTTCTCTAATTAATTCCCTTTTGATGTGCACAAATTTTGTGCACTGGGCCACTAATGACATTGAACCTCTTCATTTACTTATTGACCATCTGTATATCTTCTTTGGAGAAATGTGTATTAAAATCCTTTGCTCATTTTTAAAGTGGTGGTATTTGTCTTTTTATTGTAGGATTGTAAGAGTTCTTTATAGATTCTGGATATGAATGCATTTCCAGATATGTAAGTCACAAATAATTTCTCCCTTCAGTGCATTGGGTTCTATCCTTAATTCTAAACCTTGGCAAATTATTTCATTTTTGTCATCTGGAAAACGATTGAGTTCAGAAGTTTGTAGGATTTACAAATTAGGGTGCATATACACTGGGAGCAGACATCTGTAACCCAGGAATAGAAGACACCAAGGATTCATGTAGTTCATCTTCTAAAATGCCAATATTATTTGAAGGTTTTAGGGTAAGCAGAATCTTGGTTTTCTATGTGTGAAAGTAGAGAGAGAAGAAAAACTGCACTAAGCAAACAGAACTGTTGACATGTTTAGAACCAGGTGGCAGTGGTATTGCAGTATGTCAAGTAATCTGGGAGAGTGGACTTTAGAAAGATAAATCGTGCCTGATCATTGGAAACTGAGAGCTGAGCCTTCAAAAGCTTTTAAAAGTTATTTTATGGCTTTTAACTTTTGATCACTTAAAAATCATTAGCTCACAGTTCTGGCCAGTGTTTCTCAGTGCTTAGAGTGTCAGCCTTCACACCGAAAGGTTGCAGGTTCTCTCCCTGCCCCTGGTAGGAGTGCATGCAGGGTGCATGCAGGATGCACCCCTCCCTTCTTTCCACTCTCTCTGAAAAAGCAATGGGGGGAAAAAATTTAATCATTAACTCACACAAATGAGCTTACCTTCCTGCTGCCATTATTTTTTATTTTTTTATTAATTTTATTTACTAGATTGTGTTTAGTTCCATTTCCTATCATGGTCAGTTCCCTGAAAATACAAATAGGTTTAGGATCATGTTTTTTTTTTTTATTGCTAGTATTATTTTTTTTAATTTACTTCTCAGAGTAGAATAATTTTGTAAAACTAAATGTTCTACACCAAACATGAATAGGTAGTTAAACACAGGAAGTTGAAGTAAAATGGTTAAAAGGGAAAAAAAAGAAAGAAGAAAAAAAAAAAAAAGGCAAAATAATGAGATTTCAGAATAACCTGAAATGACAGACAGTTGAAACAAACATTGCATTGGTTGTCTGGGGTACCCCAGGGTGAATTTGAGGGGACAGAAGATGTTAATAAATACCACCTCTACAGCCACAACTACTGAATCATTAGGAAGGAGTATAGGCTATTCTCAGCTATTTATTTAAAATATGTGCACAAAGCAAAATCTTACGTTTTTTTCTGCCATAATACTTTAAATTTTCAATAGCCTTTTATATATTCTTTTCTTTTTTTAATAGCATCTTGATTTGTTTCATAAATGTACTGTCCTCCTAATGCCCAGAGGCTATTAAGTAGAGGGGCTTTTTAAAACCTTCCATTCTGTCTCTGTGACCTTCTTTTCATTCCTGTTTGCTTTGAGCCTCAAAAATCTGGTGATCCTTGCCTGACTGTGGACACTTTAGTATAGCAATAAGAATCTGATTGTAAGCTCTGTGTGCATGCATGTGTTATTGGCTAGTGAGTATCAATATTGGATGATATGGCCAGGCTATGTCTTAAAGAACCCTGGTGTCAGGATTTAACCTAATCACATCATATGCACTTATTGTACATGCAAAGAATAACTGTAATATTGTTAACTTATTAGTTAAGCTAAAATATCAACCTTTTTTCCCCCTGAAACTCAAAAAACTAATTATATCATTTTAAATATAACACATAGCAATGAGTCATATTTGGCTGCAAATCATAATCAATATCTCAGGGAAAATTTGGCAAAATATCAACATCACAACTTCATTTTGAGCTTCTCTGTGAAGGAGATTGTGGTTGTTTTTCAGCTGTGCATCTCAAATATTCTTTTGGTCTTTCTCTGTATGGTCAGAAATATTTTAAAATGACATAACTAAGGGAATATCAGTGTTATCTTCTTATACAAATCTTAAATTTTTAAGGATAAAATAAGAACATGGTAAAGATAACTCAGGCAATGTTGATTTGACTGTTTTGTAAAAATCCTCAATCTTTCTGGATGTTATAAGGACATGGAAATGTTCTTTCTTAAGAAGAATTAACAGAAAATCATCAGCCAAATCTCATTTTTGTTTCATTTTTTTAATATATTTTTATTGAATTTTTAGCGAGAGGAAGGGAGAGAGATAGAGAGTTAGAATCATCGATGAGAGAGAGTCATCGATCAGCTGCCTCTTGCACACACCCTACTAGGGACGTGCCCGCAACCAAGGTACGTGCCCTTGACCAGAATCGAACCCGGGACCTTATAGTCAGCAGGCCGCGCTCTATGCACTGAGCCAAACCGGTTTTGGCTCACTTTTGTTTTTATGTTCTGGGGTTTTAAACTACAAAAAAAAAGAAAAAGAAAATCTCTACACAATTTTACTTGGGCTTGAAAATTATAATTACTTCTCTAAAACAAGTATTTGTTCTGTAACCTTTTAACATCGTACAGTAGAAAGAGCCCTGGTGGCTGAAATTCTGCTTTATCATCTCACCCTACGTCCAAATACTGTAAAAATTGGGCGACTTCTTTTGAGTGGCTAAGTGGTGAGCATCGACCCAGGCACCAAAAGGTTACCGGTTTGATTCCCGGTCACTGCACTTAGCAGATTTCAGGTTCATCCCCGTCCCAAACAGGAGGGATCCGGAGAGTTTCCATAGGTTATCTCGCTTTTCTTGGATTTCTGGAACTGCAGAGACAAAAAGAATAATGCTTTATATATGATGCAATGTCCTGGGTTGGCCAAACTTCTCAGAGTAGTCCCTGAAGTGGTCCTCAGCGATTCCTTAGGTGCCTTGCCACTGGGGGGTCATCATCATAGTCAGGAGCCACCCAGAGGACTGTCTAGTACACATGTGTCAAACACAAGGCCCGCGGGCCAAATCCGTCCCGCCAGGCCTTGCAATGTGGCCCGCACCGCGCTGTCATCACTGCACTCTGCTGCGTTTCCATCACAATGACAGTTTATGACTGTTCAGTAAACCATTCGGCCCGCGATTTAGGCTGGATTTTAGATTTTGGCCCCTTCTCTGATTGAGTTCGACACCCCTAGTCTAGTAAGTCAGTTCTGTTGAACCAGGATGAGGGTGATGAATCATCTAATCTAGACCAATTGAAACTGCACCTGTTCTCTCTCTGGACTTTGAACTTCAGATAAACAGTAAGTTAGTTGATAGTGATAGTGGAAGTGGAGATACACAAAAGCACAAACAGAAAGAGGGGTTGAGTCACGGCAATGACAGAGCATTAGAGTAAGGATCAACAAACATCTGTTAAGAGTGACACGACAGAGCCAAAGCCTGGCTCAGAGCAGCAGCAGCACCGTGGCTGCCAAAGGTTTCTCTGATCAGTGTCTCTCCCTCTGGTCTACAACATGGGAAACATCTTTGCAAACCTCTTCAAGGGCCTTTTTGGCAAAAAAAGAAATGCGCCTACTCATGGTGGGACTGGACGCTGCTGGGAAGACCACCATCCTGTACAAACTGAAGCTGGGTGAGGTCGTGAACACCATTCCCACCATAGGTTTCAACGTGGAGACTGTGGAGTATAAGAACATCAGCTTTGTCGTGTGGGACGTAAACAGCCAGGACAAGATCCGGCCTCTGTGGAGCCACTACAGCCAAAACAGTTATGGTCTCATCTTTGTGGTTGACAGCACTGACCAAGAACGCATGGATGAGGCCAGACAGGAGATGATGCGGATGATGACTGAGATGAAGGATGTTGTCCTGCTCGTGCTTGCAAACAAGCAGGACCTCCCCAATGCCATGGACACAGCTGAGATCACAGACAAGCTGGGCCTGCACTCTCTGCATGACAGGACCTGGTACCTTCAAGCCACCTCTGCCGTCACTGGGGCTGGGCTCTATGAGGGACTGGACTGGCTGGCCAATCAGTTCCAGAACCGGAGCTGAGCCGCACTCCTCTCTGCCCCCTGCTCCCTCCTTCACCCTTGCCTTCATGTCCACGTGGCAGATGTACCTCTGTGGTGTGAGTGCCAGAAGCTGTCCCCATGGTTGGTCTCGGTGTGCTTCATCGTGCTGTGCATGTGCAGGTGCAGTCTGCAACCTGGTTTTTATTTAAATGACTCTTGTTTCCAATGAGGCAGTTTCTGGTACTCACATGTGTTATGCAACAGAGGCAGCCAATCAGCCGATCCATGTTTCTCTTTCTTTCTCCAAAAATCAATAAAAACACATATTTACAAATTGGAGCACTGCAGTCTTTTCTAAAAATGAACTGAGCTGTCTTTCTCATGGGATTGTAGCTGACTAGAAGGACAGGATTAAATCGACTATTCTGGGATCTGAAAATAAAGATTTGACATAGTATGTTTCAGTCCATTTTCATTATTTTAAATTCCTTGGAAGTAAGTTCTAATTTTCTGAAAATGTCAAATGAAATAACTAAAGGTAAATAAATTGACTGGAGGCGGTGATTTCCATGGAGGCGAACAAATTTCCATGTTTCTAAACTGAACAAGAGTCAGAATATTTTTTTTCTATCAGCGGTTCTTACGCAAGTAAAAAAACAACTTAATTATTTGGGGGTTCTTTTGCTTTTGAAAGACAAATAAAACCTGCAATTAATTTGACTTTAAAATTAAGAACATCAAAAAAAAACTTTACTAAACCATGGAAATAAATTTTCTCTTTAAATTGACCCTTTTGGATTTTCATATTCTGTCATTTCTCTCCAAATGAACCAGATTGAAAGTCTGGGAGCCATCTCTTTTATTCTACCTTCTTCTTACAGCTCACTTTCATACTTCTAGCCTATCTGCACTAGATTCATGTTGTCAGTCATCAAGTCTCAGGATTGTATTCCTTGTGCACCATTCCATTTCCTCTGAATATCTTAGCCTGTGTCCTCAGGTGTCTCAGTGTTAAGTTATTATGATTTGTCTCACTGCCTCCAAACTCTGGGGCAGTTTCAAGCTTATTTGCCTAATGAGTCAGGTAAGTAAAGAGTAAAGTGACCAGATGCCCCAATTTTTAACAATTTGTTCCTCGTCCCACGGCATTTTAAAAAAGTTCCAATTTTTGGAAAGAATGCATGACAAGCTAGGGAACCCTGGGAGAAAGGGAAGGGAATATATGGTTTTTGGCGGCCATGTGGCTATTTAGCCAGGATATGAGTTTTATATTATTTTTGTTAATTTTATAATGTTAAACTTTAATAATAACAAATAATTGTTGAGAATTGATTATCAAGAACTGCTTATCAAAGTTCACATTGTTGATCAGTTGTTAGAATTCGACCACCATTGTTTGGACTTACTGAAGAATGGCAATTTGCCTCTTTTGGATTTTCATATTCCTGTCATTTCTCTCCAAATGAATCAGATTGAAAGTCTGGGAGCCATCTCATTTTTGGGGATTCGCAACGATGAAAACATTTTGTAACTGCCTCTCAGATGATACACATCGTACTGCGTTCTAGTAAACTAGTTAAACAAGTGATGACCTTACAAATCAGCTATTCAGATAATATAGGTAAGTAATATTTTTTATTTCATAAATACATTAATTTTCTTGAATTTAGCAGACAGTACTCATTATCTATATTTTATAGTGGCAGCAAAAAGTCTAGTGTCGGCCTTGAAAGTGACACAACTATACATAATTTTTATTTATTTATTATATTTGTATGTTGTACTTATATTAAATTTTTAAAAAATATATTACAATATTATTTTTGCATTCTATGAAACTTTTTGTTCTCCATATAGACCAAATTTTTAACCAAGAACCCACCCACCCCCCACCCCCACCCCAGTCAATGGTGTCCTGCTTTACCAATGTTAAAATCTGGTCACCTTAGTAAAGAGTGAAATGAGCTGGATGAGCACAGGCCTCTTTAAAAGTTTCTATTCAGCTGCGGTGAATTGTTGCTTCATGAGGGCTGATGGGGCAGTATTGAGAGAAATCCAACTTTCCAAGAAAAGCCAGAGATTCCACAGGCCCTCTCACTTCCCTTGGGTTTCTAGAATTGCAGCGACAAAAAGAAGGATGCTCTGTGCCTGGGAGATAGGTTATGCAAGGTGCTGGATTGGCCAAACTTCTTGAAGTGGTCCCTGAAGTGGTCCTCTATGGCTCCTTATAGATATGTACCTTGCCACCCTGGCTCATTACCTAGCCAAGTACCACCCAGAGGAGTGTCTAGTAAGAGTTCTGTTGACCCAGGATGATGGTGATGAATCATCTAATCTAGACCAATCAAAACTGAATCAGTCACTTGTTCTCTGTGGACTTTGAACTTTTAAATAGTGAGTAAATTGTAAGTGACACAGCAATGAAAAGAATTAGAATAAGGATCAACAAATATCTGCTAAAGAGTGACAAAATAGAACGGAAGCCAGGCTCAGAGCAGCAGCAGCAGCAGCAGCACCGTGGCTGCCAAAGGTTTCTCTGACCAGTGTCTCTCTCTCTGGTCTACAGCATGGGAAACATCTTTGCAAACCTCTTCAAGGGCCTTTTTGGCAATAAAGAAATGGTCCTTCTCATGGTGGGACTGGACGCTGCTGGGAAGACCACTCTCCTATACAAACTGAAGCTGGGCAAGGTCCTGACCACCACTCCCACGATAGGTTTCAACCTGGAGACTGTGGAGTATAAGAACATCAACTTCGTCGTGTGGGACTTACACAGCCAGGACAAGAGCCGGTTTATGTGGAACTACTACTGCCCAGGCAAACATGGTCTCATCTTTGTGGTTGACAGCACTGACCAAGAACGCATGGATGAGGCCAGACAGGAGATGATGCGGATGATGACTGAGATGAAAGATGTTGTCCTGCTCGTGCTTGCAAACAAGCAGGACCTCCCCAATGCCATGGACGCAGCTGAGATCACAGACAAGCTGGGCCTGCACTCTCTGCATGACAGGACCTGGTACCTTCAAGCCACCTCTGCCATCACTGGGGCTGGGCTCTATGAGGGACTGGACTGGCTGGCCAATCAATTCCAGAACCGGAGCTGAGCCGCACTCCTCTCTGCCACCTGCTCCCTCCTTCACCCTTGCCTTCATGTCCACGTGGCAGATGTACCTCTGTGGTGTGAGTGCCAGAAGCTGTCCCCATGGTTGGTCTCGGTGTGCTTCATCGTGCTGTGCATGTGCAGGTGCAGCCTGCAACCTGGTTTTTATTTAAATGACTCTTGTTTCCAATGAGGCAGTTTCTGGTACTCACATGTGTTATGCAACAGAGGCAGCCAATCAGCCGATCCATGTTTTTCTTTCTCTCTCCAAAAATCAATAAAAACACATATTTATAAATTGGAGCACTGCAGTCTTTTCTAAAAATGAACTGAGTTGTCTTTCTCATGGGATTGTAGCTGACTAGAAGGACAGGATTAAATCAACTATTCTGGGATCTGAAAATAAAGATTTGACAAGGTATGTTTCAATCCATTTTCTTTATTTTAAATTCCTTGGAAGTAAGTTATTTTCTGAAAATGTCAAATGAAATAACCAAAGGTAAATAAATTGACTGGAGGCAGTGATTTCCATGGAGGTAAACAAATTTCCATGTTTCCACACTGAACAAGAGTAAAAAAATTTTTTTCTATCAGTGGTTCATAAGAAATTAAAATAACAACTTATTTGGGGGTTCTTTTGCTTTTGAGAGACAAACAAAACCTGCAATTAATTTGACTTTAAAATTAAGAACATCAAAAAAAAACTTTACTAAACCATGGAAATAAATTTTCTCTTTAAATTGACCCTTTTGGATTTTCATATTCCTGTCATTTCTCTCCAAATGAACCAGATTGAAAGTCTGGGAGCCATCTCTTTTATTCTACCTTCTTCTTACAGCTCACTTTCATACTTCTAGCCTATCTGCACTAGATTCATGTTGTCAGTCACCAAGTCTCAGGATTGTATTCCTTGTGCATCATTCCATTTCCTCTGAATATCTTAGCCTGTGTCCTCAGGTGTCTCACTGTTAAGTTATTATGATTTGTCTCACTGCCTCCAAACTCTGGCACAGTTTCAAGCTTATTTGCCTGAAGAGTCAGGTAAGTAAAGAGTGAAATGAGCTGGATGAGCACAGGCCTCTTTAAAAGTCTCTACTCAGCTGCGGTCAATTGTTGCTTCATGAGGGCTGATGGGGCAGTATTGAGAGAAATCCAACTTTCCAAGAAAAGCCAGAGATTCCACAGGCTCTCTCACTTCCCTTGGGTTCCTAGAATTGCAGCGACAAAAAGAAGGATGCTCTGTGCCTGGGAGATAGGTTATGCAAGGTGCTGGATTGGCCAAACTCCCTGAAGTGGTCCTCTATGACTCCTTATAGATATGTACCTTGCCACCCTGGCTCGTTACCTAGCCAAGTACCCGTATTTTCCGGCTTATAAGACAACCCCCTAATTTTACAGTTAAAATATAGGTTTAGGCCTATATTCGCTGTATAAGACTACCCCCCACTTCCGAGGCAACACCAGTTCTTTTTTTTAATAGGCCGCCTCTCTGACTCTGGCCAATCTGAGCAGGCGTACACTGTGTTCTATTATAGTAAAAAGCCTGGTCAGATTAGCCAGAGTCAGAGAGGCGACCTATTAAAAAAAGAACTGGTGTTGCCTCGGAAGTGAGGGGTAGTCTTATACAGCGAATGTAGGCCTAAACCTATGTTTTAACTGTAAAATTAGTGGGTCGTCTTATACACCGGAAAATACGGCACCACCCAGAGGAGTGTCTAGTAAGAGTTCTGTTGACCCAGGATGATGGTGATGAATCATCTAATCTAGACCAATCAAAACTGTACCAGTCACTTGCTCTCTGTGGACTTTGAACTTTTAAGTAGGTAGTAAATTGCAAGTGACACAGCAATGAAAAGAATTAGAATAAGGATCAACAAATATCTGCTAAAGAGTGACAAAATAGAACGGAAGCCTGGCTCGGAGCAGCAGCAGCAGCAGCAGCACCGTGGCTGCCAAGGATTTCTCTGACCAGTGTGTCTCCCTCTGGTCTACAGCATGGGAAACATCTTTGCAAACCTCTTCAAGGGCCTTTTTGGCAAAAAAGAAATGTGTATTCTCATGGTGGGACTGGACGGTGCTGGGAAGACCACCATCCTGTACAAACTGAAGCTGGGTGAGATCTTGACCACCATTCCCACGATAGGTTTCAACGTGGAGACTGTGAAGTATAAGAACATCAGCTTTGTCGTGTGGGACGCGAGCAGCCAGGACAAGATCCGGCCTCTGTGGCGCCACTGCTGCCCAAATGGACAAGGGCTCATCTTTGTGGTTGACAGCACTGACCAAGAACGCATGGATGAGGCCAGAGAGGCGCTCATGTGGATGATGGTGGAGTTCACAGATATCATCCTGCTTGTATTTGCAAACAAGCAGGACCTCCCCAATGCCATGGACACAGCTGAGATCACAGACAAGCTGGGCCTGCACTCTCTGCATGACAGAACCTGGTACCTTCAAGCCACCTCTGCCATCACTGGGGCTGGACTCCATGAGGGACTGGACTGGCTGGCCAATCAATTCCAGAACCGAAACTGAGCTGCACTCCTCTCTGCCCCCTGCTCCCTCCTTCACTCTTGCCTTACTCTCATGTGGCAGATGTACCTCTGTGGTGTGAGTGCCAGAAGCTGTCCCCATGATTGGTCTCAGTGTGCTTCATTATGCTGTGCATGTGCAAATGCAGCCTATATCTGGGTTTTTATTTAAATAGTTTTTGTTTCTGGAGAACCAAGATGGCATCATAGGTAAACACCTATACTTGTTGCCTCTCACAACCACATGAAAATTACAACTAAAAGGCAGAACAACTACCACCCAGAACTTCGAGAAAGCTGGCTGAGTGGAAGTTCCACAACCAGAGAAGTGAAGAAAGCACATTGAGACTGGTAAGAGGTGAAGAGGCATGAAAAGTGCTGGAACCTGAATGTGCTGATCTTTTAATCTGGAGGGAGATACAAGCTCCCGCTTGCTCTGAACTCCAGTTCTGGGCAAGACTCTGGGGGACCCAGGCACTTACGGGGAAAAACTGGACAGACTGACATCGGGACAGGATGGAGGGGGTGGCTTGCTCTCAGAGGTGCTCGTAGCAATCATTTTTTTGTACGGGGACTGGGGATGTGGAGACCCGAGGATCTCTGAGATGCATGGCTGTCTGGTAGTCATTGCTGTTTGTTCTACCCTGGTGATTCCCAGACATCCCATCCCACCCAATTTACAACCCCACCCAAGCTGTGCACAGAGGTTTTTGCATATTAATGGCCTATCCTTTCTCCACCTAAAACCTGTCAAACTGCAGCTGGATTACAGAGCCCCAAAGCTTCCAAAATAAGGCCCAAGGCCCAGCAGCAGCAGCCAGCTTTGCTTCATGGTTAGGCCTCATCTGGGCACTTCCAAACCCAAAAAAGAAGGAATCTGCAGATCTCTCTGTAGCTCTTGCTGGGTGTCCCCAGACAGTGGCTGACATTGCACCTCCATGGAAATCCAAGAGCCAGTGTACCCAGTAGTATGAGACCATACTGGATTACAAATCTTCACATCCATGAGACACACTGAAGAGGCAGACTCATTGAGCACCAAAGCCTCACTGAAGCAAGTCCTGTATCATAAGGGTGTCTGTAGCACAGAAGTTCTCCCAGAGTAGACACAGCTGATCATCACAGCCAAATGGCCTGGAGGTTAATTCCTCCCAGTGATACCAACAACAATCAAGGCTTTCCTACAATAAGACTGTGCATACAGCTCACAAAGGGGTGAACCAAGAGTGTTCACCTCAAGTGACCAGGGAGACTGAGCCACTGGGCCACTGAGCCACTGAGACCTACCACACAAGGCCACTCTATCAACTCAAGGAGATTTAACAGATACCCAGAACATAGAAACAAACACAGGGAAGCAGCCAAAATGCAGAGGTAAAGAAACAAGTCACAAATGAAAGAAATGGATGAAAACAAAACACTGGATATAGCATTCAAAATCACAGTTATAAGGTTACTCAACAATCTTCTAGAGGGAGCAATTGAGGGGGGGAAGAGGATCACATTTGTAATAATCTGAACAATAAAGATTTATTTAAAAAAAAAATCTTCTAGAAACCCCCAAGAAAGTTAGTGAGACTTTCAAGGATATGGAAAAGGACCAGTCAGAAATTAAGCATACACTGACTAAAATAAAGAAGAGAGAGAGCAAGATATTGAAAACCTACTTGAAGAAATAATGAAAACTCCCCCTACCTGATGAAAGATATTGACTTACAAATCCAGGAAGTGGAAAGAACCCAAACAAGAGAATTCCAAAGAGGATCACACCAAGACATATAATAATTAAAATGCCAAGAGCAAAAGACAAAGAGAGAATCTTGAAAGCAGCAAGAGAAAAACAGTTAGTTATCAATAAGGGAGTGCCCATATGATTGTCAGCTGATTTCTCAACTATGCAGGCCAAAAGGGAATGGCAAGAAATGTATAAAGTGATGAATAGCAAGAAAGTACAACCAAGATTACCCTGCAAAGCTATCATTCAGAATTGAAGGTCAGATAAAGAGCATCACAGACAAGAAAAAGCTAAAGGAGTTCATCACCAACAAAATAGTATTATATGAAATGCTGAAGGGTATTCTTTAAGAAGAGAAAGAAGAAAAAAAAGATAAAGATAAAAAAATTATGATTAACAAAGTGATAATAAATACATATCTATCAACAAGTGAATTTAAAAATCAAATGAATAGAAAACCTGATGAACAGAACAGACTGGTGAATGTAATAGAATCAGGGGCATGAAACGGAGCAGACTATAATTCTCAGGGGAAGAGGTTATAGAGGGTGCAGGAAGAAATTGGACAAAGAGCTTACACCTATGAACGAGGTCAGTGTGTGTGGGGGAAGGCCTGGAGTGGGGTGGGAACCTGGTGGAGGGGAACTATGGGGGGCGGGGGGGGAGACACACATCTGTTATAATCTGAACAATAAAGATTTTTAAAAAATAGTTCTTGTTTCCAATGAGGCAGTTTCTGGTGCTCCTATGCAATATTACCCATGCAATATCATGCAAAGAAAGGTAGCCAATCATCTGACCAATGTTTCTCTCGATCTCTCTCTCCCCTCCTTTCTCTTTCTGAAAATCAATAAAAACATTTTTTTTAATTGTAGCACTGCAATTTTCTAAAAATGAAACATGCTGTTTTTCTCATAAAATTTTAGCTGACTAGAAGAACAGGATTAAATAGACTACTGGGACCTGAAAAATAAAGGAGATTTGACATTGTATGTTTCATTTTCACAGAAATGTTTAATTTTCCTTAATTTATTTTAAATTTCTTGTAAGTAGTTTGTCTTGTTTTCTGAAAATGCCAAGTGAAGTAACCAGAGATAAACAGATTGGACGCAAGAGGTAAACAGATTTCCATGGAGGAAAGTAGATTTCCATATTTTCATACTCAACAAGAGTAAGAACACTTTTTCTATCAGGGGTTCATAAGCAAGTAAAAAAAAAACAAACAAAAAAACTTATTTGGGGGTTCTTTTGTTTTTGAGAGACAAGACATAATTTGCAAATAACTTGACTTTAAGAACATCAAAAATAAAACCTTATTAAACCATGGAAGTAAATTTTCTCTTCAAATTACCTTTTTGGATTTTCATATTCCTGTCAAGGCTATCATTTCTCTCCAAATGAACCAGACTGCAAGTTTGAGAGCCATTTATTTTACTCTGCCTTCTTCTTACACCTCACCCTCATACCTCTACCTGGTCTGGTCCCTCAACTAGACTCATGTTGTCAGTCACTGAGTCCAGGATTGTATCCCAATGTGCCACATTCCATTTCCTCTGAATATCTTAGCCTGCCTCCTCAGGTGCCTTTAGCTCTTTCCCCCACTCTTTAATATCTGTTTTACTTTTCAATTAAAACAAAAAAAAAATCCTCTAAAGAAACTGTTGAGCCGAAACCGGTTTGGCTCAGTGGTAGAGCGTCGGTCTGAGGACTGAAAGGTCCCAGGTTCGATTCCGGCCAGAGGCATGTACATTGGTTGCAGGCACATCCCCAATAGGGGGTGTGCAAGAGGCAGCTGGTCGATGTTTCTCTCTCATCGATGTTTCTAGCTCTCTCTCTCCCTTCCTCTCTGTAAGAAAATCAATAAAATATATTAAAAAAAAAAAAAAAAGAAACTGTTGAATTAACAAAAGTAAAAGCAAGGCATGCTCTGGAATCAAAAGCTTCAAGGGCACCGAGGACTGTCCAATATTTACTTCAGCCTTGAACGTCCATGATTGGCTCTCTGAGCCCACACAACAGCATCGGACCTTTTCCTTTATACCATACTAGTGACCTGTTGCAGGAATATTCCTGCAAGGCTTCTGGCCAGCCACTGCCACCTCTCCTGCCCTTCCCCCCCCCCCCACTCTCCTGCTGTGGCGGGCAGGGTGGGGCAGGGTAGAATGGGTGGGGCATGCCCCACCTGTCCCAACCACCCCACCACACCTGTGGCCACCTCCGCCACCTTCTCCACAGCGCGTGCGTGCACTGCCACCACCGCTGCTTGCCTCACTCTGCACGCCCGACCCACTGCACCTGCTGCCACCGCCTCTGGGGCCACAAGTGCCACTGCTGCACCCCGCCCCACCCACATGCCCCACCGAGCCAGCCGCCCCCACTGCCTCCTACCGCTGCCGCCTCTGAGGCCACCCACAGCTGTTGCACGTCTTGCCCTGGCCCACACAAGCTGCCAGTGCTTTTTCTCCAGCAGCCACAGCACCTTGCTTTCCATTTTCTCTCCCTCTTCCTGCTATCCTGTCTTCAGTCTTCACTCCTCCCTCCCTCCGCGTACCCAAAATAACTGCCATCTTTGTTGGATTAATTTGCATACTCACTCTGATTGGTTGGTGGGTGTGGCTGGTGTATCAGAGTGATAGTTAATTTGCATATTACTCTATTATTAGGTAGGATAGCACAGATGAAACAAGGTTTGAATATTAAAATTAGACTTTACTAAGGGCCAATAGGAATTACAAGGAGTAACACAAAATCCAAAATTCATAAAACCTGGATTTCTCTCTTTTGGCAGTCCATTCCAGCTCATAGTCTCTTGGTGGCCACCATTTTAGCACCATTTACCCAGGTGGCCACAGCTGCAAGATTACTTTTCTTCTTCTTTTTTTTTTTAAAATAAATTATTTTTCATATTATTACAAATGTTCCTTCCCGGCCCCCTCCATTGCTCTCCTCCATCAGGTTCCCACCCCACCCTCTGCCCTTTCCCCACCCCCCATTGTCCTCATCTATAGATGCGCAGTTTATGTTCAGTCTCTTCCCACAACCCCCTCTCCCTTTTTCCCAAGAATCGTCAGTTCACTCTCCTTCCATACCTCTGATTCTATTATATTCAACAGTTAATATTGCTCATCAGATTTTTTTTTAATTTCCTTGTTTTTTTTAGATTCACTTGTGGATAGTTACGTATTTGTTGTTCATAATTTTTATCTTTATTTACTTTTTCTTCCGAAAGAACCTCCTTCAGCAATTCATATAATTCTGGTTTGGCGGTGATGAACTCCTTTAGCTTTTTTTTTTTATTAGTGAAGCTCTTTATCTGGCCTTCAATTCTGAGTGATAGCTTTGGTGGGTAGATTATCTTTGGCTATAGGTTCTTACTATTCATCACCTTGAATATTTCTTGCCATTCCCGTCTGGCCTGCATGGTTTCTGTTGAGAAATCATCTGAGAATCGTATAAGTGCTCCTTTATAGGTAACTACCTGCTTTGCTCTTGCTGCTTTTAATATTCTCTCTTTGTCTTTTGCTCTTGGAATTTTAATTATGATGTGTCTTGGTGTGGTCCTCCTTGAATTCCTTTTGTTTGGGGTTCTGCGGGCTTCCTGGACTTGTAAGTCTAATTCTTTCACCAGGTGGGGGAAGTTTTCTGTCACTATTTCTTTCAGTATGTTTTCAATATCATGCTCTCTCCCATCTTCTGGGACCCCCATAATTCTGATGTTGGTTCGCTTGAAGTTGTCCCAGAGTTTTCTTACATTATCTTCAATTTTCTGGATTCTCTTGCCTTCTTGCTTCTGCGGAGGATTATGTTCCAAATCTTTGACTTGATTCTTGCGATCTTCCATTCTGTTTTTAGGATTCTGTATAATATTTTTTATTTCAGACAATGTATTCTTTATTTCTTGTTGATTCCTTATTAATTCTAGTTGATCCCTTTTCATATCCTCATAGGTCTTATCGACCTTTTCTAGGAAATTCTTGAAAAACCTTCTAAGAGTAGATTTGAACTCTATATCCAGTCGCTTTTTGTCCTCCATTTCTTTCGTTTGTGATCTATTTTGTTGTCTCGGCATTTTCGAAGTTTCCCTGATGGGGCGGCGTTTCAGGGTGGAGTCTGCAGCCTTGGCTTCCATCAGCCCCGCCCTATGTGGTTCCTGAGTCTCAGTAATCCCCAGGGTCCTTCAGTACTCGCTGCAAGCACCTCTGAAAGGTGCCCTCGATTTTCGCCTGCTACCAAACAGTCTAGGCTCTCCCCCAATGGGCCCGGAACTGTGGTTCAGTTCACTTGGAAGTGGGATTGGAGGTGGTGTTCAGAGAAGTCTGGAGCCCTTGTCTCCTTCCTGCCAGGGCAATCCCGCGGCACAGCCAACCGTCCCTTCTTTGCGCGCAATGTGCACGCCTTCGGGACCTCCTTTCACCGCTCCCCCGGGGTTCTGCCTTACAGCCCAGCTCCCTATGGGTGAGCCTGGGTCCCCGGGGTCTGTCCTGGAACTGGGGTTCAGCGCTGTCGGGTTTGGGGTTCAGCACAGTCTGAGCTTTTATCTCCTTCCCGCTAGGGAATGCAAGCCAGGCACTCAGCCGCCCCCTTCTCTCTGGCTTCGTCCTCTCTGCGTGCGCTGTGTGTCTCCGTACCTTAGGCTTTTACAGCTCCTCCGCTCTTCCTTCTGGTTTTCTCCTTGCTTCTCATTGTAAAATTTCCAGTCAACTAACTTTCCTGTAGTTCTGGGTAATGTCCATTTTATATTTTAGTTGTATTTTATTGAAATTGTTGTGTGCGGCTGCGGCTAGGTGTTTACCTGTGCAGCCATCTTGGATTCTCCCTACTTTTCTTCTTTAAAAAAAAAAAAAAAATTTATAAAATTTTATTTGAGCCAAACTGAGGACATATGCTAGGAAGCAAGATTTCACATGCTCTCGTAAGGTTACCATTCTTAAAGTACAGAATCCAGGGTCTAACAGAAAGCCTACCATTCAGGCCTCAAAATAATACACGAAATACTACACACAATAACTTACAGACAATAATAGGTGTCCTTGATTAAGGGCCTCACTGAACTGCCTGCAATTAGTAGCCCCCTGGAAGATAAGTTATTTCCCAGGACAATGTGATATTACCCCTAGATAAAGTCAAACCTTAGGCCTTGGGATATAGTAAAAAGAGCATTGGTCTAGGCATTAAGAGGTCAAGTGACTTACTCCCTGACTCACTGTGTAACCCTTAACCAAGGTACTTTATCTTTAGCGGTTTTTTAAACATCACATGTATTTTATATAGAATCTATCTCAGCCTTTTATTAGAATAATCCTTTAAAGGATTAGAATAAAATGAGAGAACAGATGAACAGTGCCTTGAAAAAGTAGAAACTCTTAAAAACAAAAGAACAAGTTAACTCATTCCAAAGGTTTCACAATCTTTGTCTACTCTTCACCAACTCTTGCCAGGCCATTCTCCTTACCTGGCCCTACATGCAACTTGAATTTGCAGACCAGAAAATTTGAATTAAAGGTTCTTTAAGATCTTTTTACAGCTCTTGAAGTATATGATTCCCATTCATCCAATGACCAGAAGCACTTACTATATATTAAGTGTTGAAAACACAAAAAATGAGTAAATCTAGTAAATATGATAAAATCCAAGAATCATTAATAATAGACTATAGTATTAAAGTTAATTGAGAGTCATTATTCTGCATATTACTGCTGTCAAACCTTGATATCTTACATACTATATAATTAAAGAATAATATGCAAATTAACCAAAACTCCACTATACCCACCAGCCAATCAGGAGCAAGTATGCAAATCAACCCAACCAAGATGGCTGCAGCCACAGAGAGAACAGGAGGTTTGGATTTCCCCAGCAATGGAGGAAGCCAAGCTTTCTGCACACCCTGGCAAGCAAGGCTACAAAGTTTCAATTACAGAAGATAAATAAATCCCAACAAAAATGGCAGCAGACACGAGCTGGAGAGAGCAGGAGGCTTGAGTTGCCCCGGGTGATGAAGGAAGCCAAGTTTCTGCAGCCCTAGCCTGCCTCGGCCTCCACTCAAGGCTGCAAAGTTTCGATTATAGGAGATAAATAAATCCCAGATGCCAAGGCTTCCACTTGAGTCGCTGGGGGGCGTGGCTGGCCTGCAAACCACCACAGGTCCCTTGCCCAGGCCTCCCCACAGCCCAAAGTTACCCCCACCAAGATCCAGGACATCCTTCAGAGCAAACCAGCTGGCCCCCACCCATGCACGAGGCCTCTATCCTATCTAATAAAAGAGTAATATGCAGATTGACCACTCCAACACATAATATGGCTGCCCACATGTGATCAAAGCTGGCTGCCCCCATGTGGACACAAGATGGCTGCCACAAGATGGCCAGCAGGGGAGGACTGTTGGGAGGGACCAGGCCTGCAAGGGAGGGCAGTTGGCGGTGATCGAGCCTGCAAGAGAAGGCAGTTAGGGATGACCAGGCCAGCAGAGGAGGGCAGTCAGGGGCAACCAGGTCTGCAGGGAAGGGCAGTTGGGAGGAACCCAGAACTGCAGGAGAGCAGTTAGGCATCAATCAGACTGGCAGGGGATTGGTTAGGGGGTGTTCAGGCTGGCAGGCAGAGGTGGTTAGGGGCAATCAGGAAGGCAGGCAGGCAAGCAGTTGGGAGCCAGCAGTCCTGGATTGTGGGAGGGATATCCGACTGCTGGGTTAGGCCCACTCCCTGTAAACCAGCAGTCAGATATCCCTCAAGGTGTCCCAGATTGGAGAGGGTGCAGGCTGGGCTGAGGGACATCCCTCCATGCATGAATTTCATGCACTGGGCCTCTAGTATAGTAATAAAAGGGTAATATGTAAATTGATCAACGCAGCTGCTCCCTGGTGGTCAGTGCACTCTCACAGGGGGAGCACCACTTAGCCAGAAGCCCTTAGTCAGCCTCATGGCTGACAGGCGCAGCAGCAGTGGCAGGAACCCCTCCCAAGGATGTCCAACACACTCCCCCACCCCAGGGCTCCTGGACTGTGAGAGGGCCCAGGAGGGGGATGAGGGGACCTCCACCCCCATGCACGAATTTTGTGCACCAAGTTCCTAGTTAATTAACACTTATCAAGCATTACAAAGCTGAAAAGTATTGGTTAGAAACTAAAGATACAGACTTGTAAGATTATTATGTTCTAAAAAAAACCCCTACCATCTAATATGGCAGGCTGTATGGATATCAATCTCTGTTCTTGCTAAACCTAGACTGGAGTTCAAGTTCTGATATTAATGTACTGTATGATGTTTGACAAGTACTTTTTGCCTTTCTGAACCTGTTTTCTGTCCTATAAAATGAGGAGCCTATTCCTTAGTGGTCAAATTTAGGTAAAGAGCAGTTCCTGGGACATCAGCTCTTGTTTAAATAGCCACAGTTCTTGTGTGTGTGTGTGAGCGCAGGGCAGGGACCTGAAAGAGTGAGATTTCTATTTACAAACAGATAGCAAAACACTGCTGCTAAGCCGTTTCCCTCTCTCAGAGACGCAAGCCTCCTCCATTGCTTCCTATTCAGTGTCAGGCCGTCGTTTTTCAGCCCTAAAGTCTAACAGTCCTTCCAGTACGAAGGTAGTAACTTTTCCAATGCCCAACTACGGATGTATGGGAAACTTTTCCCCTATTAAGGGGCAAATCTCAATCACTTGATTCCACTCCCTTCATTCTTACTCCGATTGCCATGGCTGAGCCGCGTTGCTCAGCCGAGTAAATAAATGGAGAAGAACGCGAACCACACTTCATCAGATATAAGCGGGGACTGACTTTCTTCACGATGTCTAAGAAAGAAATCCCCATAATCTACTTGGAAATCTTAAAAACAACAAAAAAGCCCAAACCTGTAATGGGCTTGAAATAAGACATTACTTCCCCAAGGTCAATGGCCTTGGTGCTTCCGGGTTTCCCCCACCTCCCCAACCTCATAATCTCGCAACCCCATTCCCAAATCCAGCCTGACCTCTGCCGGGAAGGAGAGGTGCGGGGATAAGGAAGGAAAAGGGGGGAGGAGGCGGGGTGACAGGGAACTTCATTGTTCGCCGGCCCCACTCTCCTCAGTAGGGCCGGTTGGCGGCGCCTGCGCAGTCCGCGCTCTTTGTGCCCCGCTGCAGCGGGCGGCTTGTTTGTGTGTGTCCGTCCCTCAGGGGCGCCGGGGGCGGGGCCGGGGGCGGGGCGTGCCCTGTCGGGCTCTGATTGGGCTTCCGCGGGGAGGTGGGCGGGCGATGGGGCGGAGCTTCCGATAACAACACTCAGCGCTGGAGCGGAGGCTGTTGGTTGCGGCGCCGCCACCGCCCGAGTCCTAATCTGCTCTCCGCCGCTCGCCTCTCTCCGCAGCAGCCGTGGCCCTGTCTTCTCCGGCTTCGCTTGCTCCTTCTCTTCCTGCCGAGCCATTTTCCTCCTTCCGGAGCTATGACCGTCGTCTCCGTCCCGCAGCGGGAGCCGCTGATCCTGAGCGGCCGCCTGGCACCTCTCGGCTTCTCAGCCCGCGGTTATTTCGGGGCCCTTCCGATGGTGACCTCCGCTCCGCCGCCTCTGCCGCGGATCCCGGACCCTCGGGCGCTGCCCCCCACCCTCTTTCTCCCTCACTTCCTAGGGGGGGACGGCCCGTGTCTGACCCCTCAGCCTCGAGCCCCAGCGCCCTTGCCCAACTGCAACTTCGCCCCGGCGGCGGGCACCCCTCGGGCCGCTCCCAAGAAGCGGCGAAAGAAGAAGGTGCGGGCCAGCCCGGCGGGGCAACTGCCCAGCCGCTTCCACCAGTACCAGCAGCACCGGCCGAGCCTGGAGAGCGGCCCGAGCGGAGCGCAGGAAGCCCCGAGCCAGGCCGCCGCCGCCTCAGCCCCGGGCCCTGCGACTGCAACGCGACCTGAGGAAGCGAACCTCTTCCCCGGCCCGCTGCCCTCCGCGGCGCCCGGCCAGCCCGCGTTACGGAAAGAGGTGGTGAGTGCCGCGAGGGGCCGGGGGCCGTTGGGAATTCGGCGCTTAGTCGGGCCCACACGGGCCCTGGGGCTTGGGGCTCTGCTCGTAGGGGGGTCGGGATGGGGGGCGGCTGTTTACTCGGGAGGGAAGTTTCCGTGACGCCCGCTCCGTTCGGGCGGAGGGGGGCCGGGGAAGGGAGAGGCTCGCGGCGGCGCTGCTGATTGGCTCCCAGCGGCCAGCCAATGAGAGCAGCGGCTGCGCCCCAGCAACAGCCTCGATTTAGAAGGCTGGCGGCGTTCCAGGGGGTTTCAGCGTTCCCGGCGCGCGGAGGGGGGGGGGAGGGAAGAGGGGCCTGGGGTGACGTCAGCGCGCGCTACGTGCGGAGCGCCGTGGCGCCGATGAAGGAGGCCCGGCCGGGGGGCGGGGGGCAGGGAGAGGGGTGGGGTCCTGATCCTTGGTTTCCCGGCGGCGGGCGCTCACACTCCCGCCGCCGGCCCGGGCGCGCAGTCGGGAGCGGGCCGCGCTGGCCGGACGCCCCGGGCTCGGCTTTTCGCTGCGGCGCTGCCCCCCGCGGCCCGACCTACTTAGCTGCGCTCTTCAGCTTCTCGGCGCGGACTCGGGCGGCGGCAGAGTGCCCGCTGCCCCGAAGCGATGGTGTGTTTTGTGTGCCAGTGTACCAGATGGACGGAACTTAATGTCTGCTGTAGACTGTACAGGACTTCTTCGTGGGAGGTGGTTTGATTGTGTCCAAACGGACATTTTCGAAAGAAGAGTTAACAATTGGATCGACATCTACGTTATGCTGGCCAATTATTGTCAGGCAATTGGACTGGTGTAAAATGGATTAAAAAACCCCAGTGAGATGATTAAATCGTTAAGATGATTTGAGATTAATCTTTACACATCAAGATAAAACTTTTTACTGACTCAACTTCAAACTTAATCTAATCTCACAATAATGGCATGAAAGTAAGCTACTGCCATTTGTTGAAAGGCTGTTGCGCTGAGAGATTTGCAGCTGTGCCTTTGGAAAAAATAAATTTGTTCGTGCCAGTTCCTTAATTTATTTCAGATTGCTTTCAAGTTTTAAAATTAGATGGCTGTTCTGAAATATTAGTGAGTTTTTGTACTTCGATTCCAGGTCAGGAAGGTCCTTTCTCTTCCAGAATGATACTAGAGAGCTCTATGAGCAGTTTCCCTGAAGACATGGAGTATGCAAACGAGTCCTTTCTGTATTTGTGTCCTGCTTCCCTAGCATATTTCAAGTGTTGGAAGGGTAATGTGATCTAATGGATTACTTTATACTTTGCATCCAGCCGTGCCTTCCTATAAGGAGCACTTGAGTTAAAATAGAATTAGTGTGGCAACATTTTTGGAGCAGTTGTGAAACCAGAAAGTAGGGGACAGGCAGAAAACCTTTTTTTCCCCTTTTTTTCTGATTTGCTATATCTGGAAAAGATGACAAAAAGTAAGTGTTTTAGTATTCGAGTTTTTATTTTAGTATTTAAATATTTGAAAAATTTTGTTTTCAGAATCTAGGAGATAGTTTTTCTGGGTACTTAGTAACCATTATCAAAACACGTCCTCCCCTAAAATCTAGCTTTAGTTAATTTTATTTATTTATTCTGAAGTAACTTTTTGAAAGTACCTGTCTTAAAGGTAAATAGTATACTTTTTTTTTTAGTATACTTATTAACATAGTTTTTATTTTTAAACAGACTCTCAACTAACCAAAAGCATTAGAAAATTTTTCTTGGCAACATCCTATTGTAAAAACTGACGTTTGTCAGCGACAGGTTGGCATTTCTCTTCCTTACAGTTACAGAAAGATGGACTTGGGGTTACTTTGGTTTTTTTACTCTTAACATTTTAAAACTGGCTTACACATTGCATACTGGTAACAGTGGTGATCAACTATATTTTTAGTAGTATTCAAACAGGTATGTGCATGCTTGGACATCCAGTGGTAAATGCAGCAAACATGGTTTTAACCAAGACAGTAAACTAAAAGTTCAGTGTAACTATTTAAATATATATTAAATATGTAATATGAGGCTTGTGACTGGTTTCTATCATGAGACTATATTCACTTTTATGTTCCTTGTCTTTATAGGTTTTAAAATCAAACATGGGAAAATCGGAGAAAATTACCATCCCCCACGGGCAGCTTGTTCATGGTATGCACTTGTGTGAACAACCAAAGATAAACAGACAGAAAAGCAAATATAACTTACCACTAACCAAGATCACCTCTGCAAAAAGAAATGAAAATAACTTTTGGCAGGATTCTGTTTCATCTGATATAATTCAGAAGCAGGAAAAAAAGTCTTTTAAAAACACTGAGAACATTAAAAAAAAGCATTTGAAGAAATCAGCATTTCTAACTGAAGTGAGCCAAAAGGAAAATTATGCTGGGGCAAAGTTTAGTGATCCACCTTCTCCTAGTGTTCTTCCAAAACCACCTAGTCACTGGATGGGAAGCACTATTGAAAATTCCAACCAAAATAGAGAATTGATGGCAGTACACTTAAAAACTCTCCTAAAAGTTCAAACTTAGATCTCAGTATGTATGTAAAACGAAGTTTTTCCAAAATCCATGCATTCTTGAAAAGAAAATTGGTACAGAATGGAAATTTGCCTTTTAACCTAGGAGGGCAAAAGATGGGTTTTAAAAAATTACAAACAGCTTGTATTATGTTTTATATTTTGTAAATACTGTATACCATGTATTATGTGTATATTGATACTTCAGAGGTACATTATAGTTTTGTTATAAAAGTATGTATTTTGCCCTGCCCAAATGGTAGGTGTTTTGTATATATACAATGGAGAAAATTTTAAGTGTGTGCTAAGGCACATGGAAGACCAATTTATTTGCACAGGTACTGAGAGATTTTTCAAGAAACAGCTATTGAATCTCAAGGTGAAGATCTAAATGTGAACAGTTTACTAATGCACTACTGAAATTTAAATCTGTGGCACAATCATTGTAAACTTAGGTTTGTCTGTTTCTCTAAATTGATTTCTGCCTTCTAATCTGTAATTACTGGAAAACTTCTCACTTTTACTAAACTTAATTTCTGGTTTTTGGTTTATATTGATATCCAAATTTAAAATATCTCTTCATTTCCAACAAAATCGGTTGTAATCAAATTCTAAAATAATAATTTGGCCCCTTCCTCCCCCTTTTATAGTCTTGACTCTTTGTGTGTGTGCCTGTTTCTCATGTTTGTGTGACTAGGAGGTGGATTCTAACTTTCACTTCACTGGCTAAAGGTGTTTAACTTTATACTAATTATCCATCCTCCATCTAGTACCTCTCAGGGGAGGAATTCCCCATTTTACAAATGGAAATGGTTGTGGTCAAAAGTAAAGCTGATTAGTTATAACTTAGAATATATTTATATATGAACTGTTTCATAAAGTACTATTTCACTTGACCATACCATACATTTTTAGTGAAAGAAATGACACTTTTGGTTTGCTGGATTTATATTGTAATGAATGGTGGTACTTGAACCAAAGCAAGCATAATTGATGTTAAAATAATAGATGGAGATTTGGATTCTGAAGCTTGCTTGAAGATAAATATGGCAGCTAATGTATTTTTGTTAAAATTTAAACTCTTCTTTTACTTCCTAGTATGTAGTTTTTAGTTACAAAAAGCTAAAGTTTATCTCAAATAAAAAGGAAAGTTTTTTTTTGTATGGGCAATATTTAGACATGAAAAGAAAAAGGGTGTTAAGAGGATATATAGAGAGAGAGGATTCTATAAGGTAGAATAAAGGTGCTACCATCCTTACTAGAAGAAAATAAAAGGGTTCTATGGTTTACATTTTACCCTCAGACTATGCAAAACCAACAAAGGCTCATGGCTTGCAGTTTTAGGTCTTGCCCTCCTGTGCCATTTGGTTCACGTGGGAGTGGAGGAATTCACTTAACTTACTGGCTGTACAAAAGTTGGGAGTGGTGTGGGCATCTTAACTTAGAATCACCATTGACTTCATGAGCAGTGAGCATATAACTTACAGCTGCCACAAAAACAGTTTGCTGTCTTGTAGATGCAGCTCATATGTAATTCAGCCAACCATTATTCTTTAGCACTGGCTTTGTTTTTTGTTTCTTTTGGGGCGTTTTTTTTGTTGTTGTTGTTATTACCCAAGGTTTTAGAGAGTGGAAAGAGGAGAGACAGAGAAACATCGATGTGAGAGAAACATTGATGTGAAACACTTCCCAATTGATTGGTTGCCTCCCACACATGCCCCAACAGGGCTGGGATTGAATCTGCAACTGAGGTATGTGTCCTTGACTGGAATTGAACCTGGGACCTTTCAATCTCAGGGCGGGTGCTCTATCCACTGAGCCAAAAACTAGCTAGGGCTGGCTTTATTCTTTTATGTATGTAGAAAAAGCTATACTTCATTATGTATGTGTCACACACACATAACTATATATAGCTGGCTTTAAACATGCATTTAGAGAAGAAAAATAAAAATTTGAAATCTTTGTTGAAAGTATTGCATGGGTCTCCTTCCCCTTGACTTCTAGCACGCCCCAGGCCCTCAACCTATTGTTAGTGACTGTGGGTTATGCATATGTGCATATAAGTTCTTCAGTTGATCTCTTCCCTATCTGCCACCCTCCCCTGCCTGCCTTCTGAGGTTTGACAGTCTGTTCAATGCTTCTGTGTCTCTGGATCTGTTTTTGTTCAATTTATTTTGTTCATTAGATTACACATATGAGTGAAATACTTACTTCTCTGACTGGCTTATTTCACTTAGCATAATATTCTCCAGATCCACCCATGCTGTTTTCTTTTTTACAGCTGTGTAGTCCATTGTGTAAGTATACCACAGGTTTTTGTACTCACCTGTTGATGGACACTTGGGTTGTTTCCAAATCTTAGCTATTTTAAATTGTGCTGCTGTGAACACGGGTGCACATATTCTGATTGTTGTTCTGATTTCTTAGGGTATATTCCTAGAAGTGGAATCACTGGTTCAAGTGGGAGTTCCATTTTTAATTTTTTTTGAGGAAGCTCCATCTGTTTTCCACAGTGGCTGCATTCCCACCAGCAGTGTACTAGGGTTCCCTTTTCTCCACATCCTTGTCAAAATTATTTTCTAGTAGATGAGCTTTTAGCCTTGTAAAAGACTTTCTAAGGGAAATGTTATCTGGTAAAAAGAATGACTGGAATTCTTAAAGGCATGACATAAGGAAATAGGTATTTATATAATAAGAGCCTAAGCAACCTTTACAGTGGAATGACCAGAACAACCGGTCACTATGATGTGCACTGACCACCAGGGGGCACACGCTCAATGCAGGAGCTGCTTCCTGGTGGTAAGCACTGCTCAGCCAAAAGCCAGGCTCACAGCTGGCACGTGCAGCAGTGATGGCTGGAGCCTTTTTGGCCTCTGCAACAACGCTAAGGAGCAGTAAGCTGAGAGGTAAGGAGCAGCAAGCAGGTGGGTAAGGAGTGAAGGGCCCTGGACTGTGAGGGATGTCTGCAGGGAGGGAGCCTAAGCTGGCAGGTGGACATCCCTCATGGGGTCCCAGACTGCAACCGGGCCTCTAGTAAAGTAATAATAGATATTATAGTTTGAAGAGTGAACAAAAGGTTGAATTAGACTTCAGGTAATGTTTAGTGACAAATAATAAAAGTTGAATAGTTTTGGTGTTACAGTAAAATACTACTTAGCAGCCGTAGTCCCTTCTAGCTGCTGTCAAAAAATACTAGAGGCAGGGTAGCTTATAAACATTTGTTTCTCACAATTATTATACAGGGAAATTAAGCTGATTTGGAGTCTGATGAGAACTCACTTAAGTGGTGTCTTCATTGCATCCTCACATGGCAGAAGGGTGAGGGAGCTTTTGGGGGCTGGTTTTGTTTGGCACCAAGACTATGCATAAGGGTTTTGCTCATGTCCTAATCACTTCCCAAACATTTCACTTCCTAGTAATCACCACCTTGGGGTTAAGTTTCAATGTAAAGTTGAACCATATGCACCCCCATTATTATTCAGCCACCTTTATTTTTTTCCCATTGAAGTCTCCTGTAGAAGTTTTTCCAATGTTTCTGTAATTATATTCCTTTGGTTTTGTGGGTATGTAAAGCAAGCATTGTGTTTGCAGTTGAAGATAATTTTGATTTGCATTTTGAACTTTTGAGGTGAATGTAAGATATCCACTTGGGAAGACATGGCAAGCATATAGAAGATAGTTCATGCTTAGAGGTATACCTTTGTTAATGAGAACATGAAAATGGAACTGAAATATTTTGTTTTCCTACATGCTTTTGCCTTTCCCTTCATAAGGCTTAACACATTTACCAGTGCCCTTGAACCCAATCTTCTTGCTTCCTACACTCTCAATGTCATCTGTGATAGTGAATTAGTTGTTAGAAAGTATTTCCTCTGAAACAGTGTTAAATGGTGGTTGGTTCTCTGCCTACCTATAAAAGTCTGTTAGTGGGCAACCCTAACTTAAGTTCTGAATTCTGATAGTAGGGGCCCAGTTGGTGAAAAGGAGGAATAAAGGTTTTCTTAGTCCAAGATTCGAAAGTGGGTAAAACTATAATAATAAAAGATGAAGCCGGAGTTGCGAGGGAAGCCCGGGTCCCGAATGCCAAAGCAGCTGGGGGAAGGAAGGCCTACTCTTGCATGAATTTTATGCATCGGGCCTAGTCATTTATAATTGGTTTTTGAACCTTTCCCTTCTCCTAATTACCCTCCCATCACATTGCCGAATACATTATCCTTTACTTAGAGGGTGGGAAGCCCTCCAACTCCCATGCCCTCTATGCAATTGATAGGTGTTTCAGGTTGAAGGAATCAAACATTCTTATACTTGGATATGAAAAGCTGATAGTCTCATTTTTGAAGGGCATTGCTGAACTAAATATATTTTAAAATCAAGGCATTGCTGAGCACCTGACTCCTGAGCTAACTCCAAGTTTTTTGTACTTCATTGCTTATTCCTGAATCTATAAATCTTTCAAAAACTTCCAAATACAAGTTTTCAAATGGGGAAAGAGTATGTTTGATGCATAATTGTGTAAGCACAAATCATGTAATTCAGAAACTACTTGCTTTTAAATCTGAAAGAAAATTTGAGTACATTTTTCAGAATGTTATTTACAAACATAAAAAAGTTAATCTTTGAAAGTTTCTTGGAATTTTAGATAGCATTCTCTGAAGGTGTGGAGTGGACGAAGTTTTGCTTTTTAAGAGTTTAGAAAATATTTTACACTTAAACTCTTTAAATCTCTTGGATGAGACTCTCTTTAATTAATCTCTGACGGTTTTCAGATCACCTTCCATCTTTTGTAATTTTCTTGGAGTTCTAAATTAAATATGCTAAAATGTATAAGTAATGTTTTGAACATCCAGGAATTATATTTGTCAAATTTAAAACTTGTATTATAACCTCCCCTCAAATTAATTAGAATTTAAAATTTATAAAAGCTGTTACTAGTAAAACCCCAACCTGTTAGTCAAAATAGATAAGGATAGACAAAGTGTGATCACCAAAACCTCTCAGAGTGTCAGTATATTAGACTAATGACCAGCAGCTCAGAGCTCTATGTAAATTTTTCCATCCACGTTTTTAAATGAACGTTTTTAAAAATCCCATTAAAAGTATGAAATTATACAGTATAAAATAAAAATGGTTAGACTTTATATATTTCAAAAATTATAGTGAATATCCTATAAAGCTAGAATATTAGTATTTCTAATTAAGCTACATTTAACATTTTAAGGTCAAATTTTAAGTTTTACTGACAATGATGTTTTCCCTTAACTAAGGTTCTTATGAATTATATATTTTGCAATGTGTTAAAATAAATTTAAATAACATTCTCTCTCATTTTCAAAATATTAAACTACCCAGAAAGGGTCTGACCAGTCATATAGCTTAAGTCGATTTTGAAAAGATCAACAACAGCATATTTTTTCTCAAGGTGTAAAATACTACAACAAAGCAAATACTGTGTCACAAATATGATTGGAATGGTTAAGTACCCTCCCAAATACATTAAAATTTTTCTTACTATTAAAAGAAAAAAGCTATTACTTGGGTTTATGACTATATTAATTTTTGTTGAAATTAAAATCAACAGCATTGTAAATCCTATTAGGAGTAAGCTAAAATAAAAAACAAACAAACAAAAACTAGAATGCAGTTATTTTAGAAAATGGTTATAGCAAAGAATTCTGGTTTTCCTTCTACAGTGCCTAAACCTGAAGGTTTGGTTCCATGACAGATTATGATCCTCTGCACCATAAGTAGCATATATTTAACTATATAAGACCTCAAATATGCTCCCACCCTGTTTGGAAAATTATTTTTTAACTCTAAGAAATCACAATTTTAATTTAGTTTAGAAGAATTACAAAAATATTTCTAAATGCTTATTCCTTTAAACTTTGACTAATTTTGCTTCTTGCAATGGGATTAAAATAAAGGCAGGAATTCTTATTTGTAATATAACAGCAGCATGTGTTAGAATAGTTGTATCTCAAGTAAACACTACAAATAATACCTAAAATCCTAAAATAAGATAATTCACATTTAAAAATAAATTAGCCTAGTGTTATAAGATTAAATCCTAAACTCCAAATAAAAAATTTGGTATTATCCCCCATTATATGTTTGCAGATGCAAAATATCAGCTGCTACATAGAAACTGTGTAGTATTATTCATGGGGAGAAAGAAAACAAGCAGGAGTAGTGGCCATCTTATTTTCTTTGCCATTTACTTACCCTCTATCACTGTGAACAAATGGAGGTAGGTAGTGCCCTACACTAAACTTGGAAAGTAACTGAGTCAACGTATTATCTTTAAAGGAAATTATTCCAGATGTGTAAACATTTGCTTTATTTATTAACAATCTTACACTAAGTATCCTTTCTTAAGTAGTCCAAGAAATAATTCTGTAACAAAAGTGAATCCTAGAGTAGATATACCCAAAAGATAATTTTCCTAGGTACCAGAACAATTTCCAATCAATTTCCACTCAGAGTCACTGAACCTATTTTCATTAAAGCCTATAATAATTTCTTTTCCTAATTCTATTTTTCTTCCCATCTAAACACTACCTTGGTTTAGCATATATCTGTCAAAGACTGTTCTATTCCAAAATGACAAAGCATAGTAGGGAGAGGCAGTCTAGAGCCCAGCCACAAAGTCTTAATAGCTGTTGACCTTGTGCATGTCCTTTAACCTCTGCATCACACTTCTGTATCTGTAGTGGTATTTACCTCATAAAGCTGCTGTGGTGATGAGGGAATAATGTAAAACTCACAGAACAGTGCCACGTGCATAGTTACATACTCAAAAAAGCTTGAACTACTATCATTCCAGTTTTTCCATCAAACCAAATAGTATCCTAACCAACCTAGGGATCACAATTTGGAAAACCAAATGAGATGTAAATCTAACGATTAAGCATGTTCATAAACATTGCCTTATCAAATTATTAAAATAATGTTTAAATGCTAAGTAAAGACCCTATAATCAAATCCTTAGTATTTGGTATGAATACGTGTGTGTGTAAACCCAAACATTTAGAAAATATTAAAAAATTACTATTAATAATCATCTTGTTCTTTTTTCAGACTATCTTTTATATTTTCAACAGTACCACATAATTTTGAAACTAAATTTTATTACAAGTGATCATGAACTTCAAAGAGTTGTAGTTCTGAAGTAACTTTTGCTATGATTAGAGAAATTCTATTCAGGAAGTAAGTATACATAAATTTGTGGTACTTGCCCAAATATTACAAGTATATAATTTATTTTATAAAATTGTTTCTTACACATAGGATCTAAAATGCAAAGAAAAATGGAATTTGTATTCAAAACAAATAGAAGCAACACTGGCTTCCATATGCTAAAACTATAAGACAGGTTTTTTTCCCTTAAGCACTCTAGATACAAATATTAACTGTATGGGCTGAAAACTTTTTAATTTTCAATGTATTTCAACAAGGTACACAAGTAGAACTCTAGAAATATATCCCTTATAAGAATCATATTTATCACAAATACTACCAAAACCCTCTGAAAAACATAAACCACAAACACATTTTAAAGAAATTCTCATTTTTAACAACTACAAAAGCAATTAATAGCAATAAAGTTATTTGGTTTAAAAAATGAAGGGCAGTGTAATGTAAATCCAAATACTGGATTGTTTTTGAGGATGCAGTCTTGAGTTTCTTAATACAACTAAACACTTCCAAAAGTAGTAAGACATACTATGTACAATTTAAAATCTTAACCTAGAGCTCTAAAAAGGAAAAAAGGAAAAAAAAAAGCAGATGAAAAGTAGGTATGTAGAAATAATGGTATAATTATTTTTATACAATGGGTACCACTCTTTAAAGAGATAAGGCTTAATATGATTATTTTTGGATTATAAGTGTTGACCACAATTTTTATAGTGGAGACGTCTCAAACCATTCAAAATTCAGTATTCAAAAAATGTTTTGCTATTTCTGAAGTAATTGAACATAGTACAAGATGCAATTTAATGTCAACTTACCTATGCTTTTCCACCCAATAAAATAAAACCCTTTTTGAGTTTAGGTGAGAATCTATCTTTTGAATGCCTGATCTCTATGTAAATTCAACTTTTAGGGATGTCAGAATTTTGTAATATGAACTAATATCCATCAAGAATTGGCCTAAGTTTAAACAGAAGACACAAAACAGACATAGGTGTCAAATAGTTTGTCTGCCCTATGCAATTACTTTTTACATGAAAGTGATTTAAAGTAAAAAATATTTTTGTAAAAGGTATTATTAATATTACTAATACAGTAGTCCCCCCTTATCTGTGGTTTTGCTTTCCACAGTTTCAGTTATGCACGATCAACTGTGATATAAAAATATTAAATGGAAAATTCCAGAAATGAACAATTCCCAAGTTTTAAATTGCATGTACTTCTGAGTACTTCATCTCATCATATAGGCATTGTAATCTCACAGGAAGAGTGAGGCCAGTGCAATATTTTGAGAGATCACATTCACATAACTTTTATCATAGTATATTACCATGTGTCTATTTTATTAGTAGCATTATGGTTTATATCTTACTGCGCCTAATTATAAATTAATCATGATCATAGGTATGTGTGTATAGGGGAAAACCATCTATATAGAGTTTGGTACAATCTGTGGTTTCAGGCATCAAACAAGGAGAGTTTTAAACATATCTCCATGGAGAAGGGGGGAACTACTGTACTTATATCAAAGTAGAATTTCCTAAGTTAGTTCCATTTTACCCATTTCCTTTGAGAAGTATCCTTCTGCCACAATGTAAACAAAAATGGTCCATAAAATGGTGGCATTAGACATCAAAATTTGTGGTGTGGGCCCTAAAATGGAGACCAAATCTCAATTAATTCAAAGCTAGAGAGGTTTGTTTCTTGTACATGCCCAAAGATAACTAATATCAACTCGCATTTTCCGTAAGCTTTGAAGAATTTTTATTTAACATAATGTGAGGTTTAATAACTTAAAAACTATCTAACACTCTTCTCTTGTTCACCAACTGTTTTTATGACGATAACTCCGAGATCTGGAATGTGATGGAAAATGAGAGTGTTTTGCTGTTTGTGCTTTTGTTTCTGAATTGGTGTACCCTTTAGATTTACATGGGGATCTTGCTATGGAGTCAGAATGTCTTCCATGTGATCTTGATTTTGTTCCTGAGCTAGTCTGCTTTTGAGGTGAACTTGATTGTGATTTTCCTATTGATTTCGATCTTTTTTCTAAGGACTTGGACCTTGACCGTCCTCTAGAACCAGAATTCCTTCTTGGAGTTCTTGACTGCCTTGCTGAGGTAGACCGCCTTGGTAGTGACTTGGAGCGAGATTTAGACTGGCTATAAGAAAGTCGCCTGTGTCGGGACCTGCAAACATCCACAATGTTAGAGTATAGATTTCACACAGAGACAGTTACTAGATTAGGAAAAAACACTTGCAGGAAATTATATACTTCAGATAATAGTTATGTTTTTATTGGCTAAGTTAAAATAAATAATTCTAATTTTATTATGCATGCTTTTGGTTCAAACATAACAAGTTTATAATACTTGTTATTCTAGAATATATAAGCAAAAAATATTTACTTTGCTACATACTAGTAATTCTTATGGCATGGGTCAGTTCTGAAAAATACTCTGCATATTTAGTATGGGATACACAACTCTCAAAAGTTATGAAAATCTAAAGAAAAAAATGTAAAGGAGAGAGGGAATGAAAATAATTATTTAAAGTTTATCAAATAATGTTTATAACAACAAAAACCTAGATGCAGGACTTCTGAATTCTACCCTGATAAAACAGCTTATACTAGATTAATCTCCCCATAGAAATTAACTGTATCAAAAAGGTAAGACAGATGATGATGGAAGCAGACTTAACTTGGGGTGGTGAACAAACAATACAATATACAGAGATGTACTATACAGTTACACACCTGAAACCCATATAATTTTATTAACCAATGTCACTTTAATAAATTCAATTTTAAAAAGATTAAAAGAGCTCTGGCCAGCGTGACTCAGTGGTTGAGCATTGACCTATGAAACAGGAAGTCATGGTTTGATTCCCAGTCAGGATACATGCTCCAGTAGGGGGCATACAGGAGGCAGCCGATCAATGATTATGTCATCATTGATGTTTCTCTCTCTCCTTCTCCCTTACCCTCTGAAATAAATAAAAATATATTTAAAAAATAAGAAAAGATAAAAAGGGTTAATAACGCTTATAAAACAACTGTGTGAAGGCAATGGAGAACCACCAACACAAGCAGAATTTGAGGGGTTATAAGCTATGGTTTATTTTTGTTTTATTTTGTTTATACTTCTATTTTATAAAGGAGGAGAGAAGGAGAAAGAGAGGGAAACATCAGTGATGACAGAGAATCATTGATTGGCTGCCTCCAAAATGCCCCACATAGGGGATGGAGCCCACAACCCCAGTATGTGTGCTGATGGGGAATGGAACTGTGACCTCCTGGTTCATAAGTTGACACTCAACCCCTGAGCCAAGCCAGCTAGGCAAGCCATGGTTCTTTTACTCAGACCATTTTCTTAATACCAGCATTGCAAATAGAACCCAACTAGAAAATGGCTATTTGACTAAGCTGAAGAGACAGAAGTTGGAATTCAGGGCTACCAAAGAGGCTAAGACTTGAGAAGCAAAATGAGATGAGAGAATTACAGACAAAAACAAAGCATAACAAAAAACCCTAAAACCTGCTTACAGATTCTCAAGTCCTGGCCATCTTCTAATCTGTGCATGCACAGGATGAGACTCCTAAGAGGTCAGCAAAACTGCAGCTGCACCCTAGCCGGTTTGGCTCAGTGGACAGAAAGCTGGCCCACGGACTGAAGGGCCCCAGGTTCGATTCTGATCAAACAGGGCAGCAGACTCAATCCCTGGCCCTGGTCAGGGCATGTGCAGAAGGTGGCAACCAATGGTGACACGTGCATGTTTCCCTTAGAATCTCTCCCCTTTCCCTTCCATTTGTTGTAAAAATCAATGTCCCCACATATGTTACTTTTTCTCTATTGCCTCTCTAGAGAGTTCAACTTAATATAAAATCATTTAGGTGTTGCCACTTATTTGGCTCTTCATTTTTTAATGAGGGCGCCTGTGTCAGGTAAACTCGGGTTAAATAAATGTGAATGCTTTGACATGGTCAAACTGGATCTGCCCGTTTTATTCTCAGGCCCTGCCGGAGACCCTAACAGATAGGTAGTTTTGCCTCTACATATACCACCAAAGCCCTTGCTAGGATTGCTGCAGAGTTGTTTTGCGCAGAGGGTCTAGCTAGCCAAAGGGCAGAAAATAAAACAGGTGTCCCCTGCGTTCTCTAAAAGGAAGTTCTCGGTTTCTTAGATACCCAGGGTAATGTTGCGCTCCTTCATGCCCAGAGCTGCAGACGAGTCCCGGGGAAGCCCGCGGAGACCCCAATACACTGCACCGGCCAGAGCAGGTTGGCCCGGATGGGGGGAAGGGCTTGAGGCTCCCCGTTACACACATTCTCGTTCAGTTTTCACAGAAACCTAACAGGTGGGCACATTGCATCCTCTTTACAATCTGAGGAGACAGAGACATGGTCGACAGAGGCCGGAATGGAGCCTCCACTCGGCCTGGCACAGGCCCCAGGTGCCCCCTCGCCCCCTGCCGGCCGCGCAGCTCTCCCTCCAAAGGCCGGCCCCGCCCGGTGCGCACGGAAGCCTCCCTAACAGGCCCTGCCAGAGCCCTGGCCCGGGAAGGCGAGGAATTTAAAACTATCCCGAGAAGATGGACTTCCGGCTGCTCGCCAGGCCTAAACAGAGCGAAGGTATTTGCTTCAAGTATCGGAATGACGTAAGTGACCAGAGGCGGGGTTATGTAGATGAGCACAGCGCGGTGACTGCTAGTTCGAGTGTCTTAACAGAGCAAAATTTCCTCTGGATATCAGGAAGAATGTATCTTAGTCTCTGTCATATAAACAACACTGCAACTTGGAATCGTAGGGCAAAAGAACTCTCAATATAACTAACCATAACCTTAAAGTGTGTTGAGGACGAAGGCGGTGTGCCAAGCGAGGCCTGGAGCTCATACTTACCTGGCAGGGGAGATACCATGATCACGAAGGTGGTTTCCCCAGGGCGAGGCTTACCCATTGCACTCCGGGTATGCTGACCCCTGCGATTTCCCCAAATGTGGGAAACTCGACTGCATAATTTGTGGTAGTGGGGGACTGCGTTCGCGCTCTCCCCTGGCGAGGTTGTTTCCCAAAGACAGCATTTAATTAAGTAACTTGCTTGTGGTAGAGTCACATAAGGATTGTGGATGCGTTTCCCGTGCTCTACTGGGACGTGCCCGCAACCAATGTTCTCAGCTCACCGCCCCACCCCCCTTTTTTCCCTCAGAGAATCCTGAACTTAAGATATATAAAACTTCCATTTTATGTGTACTCGCCACATCATTATAAACATGTGGTAAATTATACATGTATAGTTTACACTATATATAGTCTTTACATGTATAGTACACGTAATAGAGATATATATACACTAAAATTCATAGTAATGTGAATGAACTGTTGAACATCATTCCCTTACACTATTCATGTCCCCTGTGAAGCCAGAAGCAATACCAATAGTATTGTTTTTCTGTATACAAACATGTAAATTTAGCTCTTTAATTTCCTCTTCACTATATTTTAAGTTCTGTAAGTTTAATTTTCCATTTGAGTATGGAAACTTTATGTCAGAGTCTAAATATCAAATATCAATCAATGGGAAAATCCGTTAGCCATGGGATAAACTGGATTATTCTCCATAGGTACAAGGGATATTTATATTCTTTTTTTCTTTTTATATATTTTATTGATTTTTTACAGAGGTAGGGAGAGGGAGAGAGTCAGAAACATCAATGGGAGAGAAACATCGATCAGCTGCCTCCTGCACACCTCCTACTGGGGATGTGCCTGCAACCAAGGTACATGCCCTTGACCGGAATTGAACCCGGGACTTTTCAGTCCACAGGCTGAAAGGCTGACGCTCTATCCACTGAGCCAATCTGGTTAGGGCAGGATATTTATATTCTTATACTATCAGAGAAAGTATGATAAAAAAGATCAAATTCCAGAATATGACTTGTTTCTAAATTTTCCTTCACCAATCTTGAAAAGAGCCAATCCTGACCTGGATTCTCTTGTGTTTTAAAATAAGCTTAAGGCTTTCTCTCACCTTCATGCCTCTAAAGATAGGCCAAAATCAAAGCATTTTGTTCATACCCAGGAGAGGTACTGATTTGCCATGTAAGAATCTGAATCTGAGATGTAGGGCTCTGAGTAGGCCAGCCCCATTTTCTAGTAATTAGGATTCTCGTATTTTAAAGTCATAGAATGTAGATATAGTTCTCTCTTCCTATTTTCCCTTCCACTGGCTGGAAGAATTGGTGCCAGGCTACTTAGAGCAAACACTCTCTCACCAGCTCTAGTACATATATCCTATTTTGAGCTTTTTCTTGTCTAGGGCCTTAAGAGTTGAGGAATGGAGTCCTGGCCAGTGTGCTCAGTGGATTGGAGTATCATCTTGTTCGTTCTCTCTCTCCCCCCCCCCCCCCATCTAAAATCAATAAACATATCCTTGGGTGAGAATTTAAAAAAAAGAAAGAAATGTAGCTAGTGTAATGGAGGAAGTGAATTTAGAAAGAGTTGAAGAACGAAGGGACTGGAGTGAAAGTAAGCAATTCCGATGCTAGTCTAAATATTGATTATTCTTTAAGAACAGAATTCACTTTAAAATTCTATAAAAAACTCTCTATGAAAAAAATTCAGCATTAAAACTCAGATAAATAGTACAAATGTTTTAAGAACTTAGATGTTAATACAACTTATTTAAATAATTTCATCAAGTAATTAATTTCCATTGTGATTTACTATTATTCTAACAGAAACAAACAACTGGCTAGCAAAATAGGTAACTTGTAAATATTCTGAAAAATGTACTAGTCTTATATCTTCCTATAATAGTACCATACTTGGAATTTGTTTTTAAAATCACTAACTTTTATAAATATATTTATTTACATTAATTTTAGTGTCAACCACCATCCCTTCTTACGAGCTTGTAATCACTAGCGACATTGGTGTGAAACATTCTTTAAATCACTTTAAAAGTATGTTTTTACTAATTTTTAGAAGGAAGAGGACAGAGATAAGCATCAATGTGAAAGCGTAACATCAAACAGCTGCCTCCTGCACACCCCATAATGGGGATCAAGCCTGTAATCTAGGCATATGCCCTGACAGGGAATTCAAATGGCAACCCTTTAGTGCACAGGACAACACCCAAACAACTGAGCCACATCAGCCAGAGGAGAACTTAACATTCTTAATTGTTGGATTCACTTAGGAAATTTTTATTTATTTAACATTCCTCATTTTTATTTGCCAAATATACATTTTTTAATATGTTGCTTTTTTCACTATGTATTATGTTTCCAGTCAAAAGGTTGAGTCCCGAGAAGAAACAGAAGAAAAATAAATAAATAAAAAGCTTAATATTGGGAGGTATTTAATAAGCCTAAATTAATCTTTCTACAAAAGATAATTCTTTATGAATATTAAACAAAATTATTACGGTGCTCTGTACACGCGTGTGTGTGTGTGTGTGTGTGTGTTTATTAATAACATTTTATTGACTTCAGAAAGGAAGGAAGAGAGAGACAGAAATATCAATGATGAGAGAGAATCATTGATTGGCTGCCTCCAACAGACCCCTTATTGCAGGATGGAACCTGAAACCCAGGTATGTGCTCTGACTGGGAATTGAACTGTGATTTCCTGGTTCATAGGTAGATGTTCAACCACTAAGCCACACCAACCTGGCTCAAAGCTCTTTAAAAATGTTTTCCAGCCCAGGCTGATATGGCTCAGTAGATAGAGCATCTGTCTGCAGCCCAAAGGGTCCCAGGTTCAATTCCGGTCAAGGGCACATACCTTGTTTGCAGGCTCCTCCCCAGCCTGGGCCCTGGTTGGGCACATGCAAGAGGCAACCAACCAATGTGTTTCTCTAACATTGATGTTTCTCTCTGTCTTTCCCTTTCTCTTCCACTGTCTAATAGATCAATGGAAAAATATCCTTGGGTGAGGATTAACAAAAACAAAAAAATGTTTTCCAGAAAAAGTAGAAAATTAAGTTTTCAATACTCTTGTGTTTGATACTCACTCTTTAAGGCTATCAGACCGCCTCCTATTTCTTTCCCAAGAAGAACTTCTACTTCGAGTTCTCCGTTGGCTGGGGCTTCTTGACCTCCTATGATCACTTGGAGAACAAGGGTGACGTTCTTTTGATTTCATTTGTCCTGGTGCTGGAATATGAAGTGCAAGACCTCAGTCACAACTGCTCAAATAGTATTCTTTTCTAGAATAATTTTAAACTAAATCTGTTATTGCTAAAATTCATTCTGCTGAGTAAACAAGATCTAACACTTAGTCACACTTACTTTTGCGATCACCTTGTGCAAACTGTATTTCAATTTGACGGCCACATACCCACTTTCTATTGAGGTTATAAAGAGCATCTTCAGCATCTCGAACATCTTCAAATATGACTAGCTGTTAAGGACACTTTGAATGTCAGATATCAAGTAAAAATGTTATTTTAAAAGAATTATTTAGGTGACAGAAAATTAATAGAAAAAACAAGTTGAAGTTATGCTCACATCTATATAATATAATATGAATAATAAAAAAATTTTACTTTTATTATGAAAACAAATGCTCATTATGATTTAAAAGAGTGAATCTAAAAATAAAAAAGAAACAAATGTGCAACTATGTTTTAAATGTATACATTAGTATAAATGTGTAATTTATGCTATATAAATGTATAATTTCAAACATGTCACGAGAACAAAATACTAGTAAGTCTAACACTGCCCTGCTCTCAGGTTTTTCCCTAAAAGAAATCAGCATGCAGAAAGCTTGTATTCTGAATTTAAATTACTCTTTCTAGCAAAAAGCTTTTTAATTATGATATTTTAGAGCAATTACTTATAAGCAAAATGCATACAAATAACTGAGCTAAAACACATTTTCAAAACTGATTTAGTTCTTTAAAAATGATATTTAGCTTTGAACCTATTGCTTTAAAATATCTTTATACTTTTATTATTTGGGGTATAAGAACAAAGAAGTAATCTGTACACATATGGAATTACATATATTTATTTGTAATAACCCACTAATCTCCCTTATCTATGTAAATTATATATTAAACCTAACTAAAATAGAAATAAGCTATATAAATGAATAGTTGTATTTTAGGAGGTTATTTACTGGTTTAATTTTTTTTTTAATAGAAAACAGAAAAAGCTAAGAAATGCAATACAGTATGAGACTTTGGCAATTACCTCAATGTCACTTGATCTTGAACCTTGACCTTTACTCTTTAAGGCTTGCAAGATGGACTTTATAAGAGACGAAGAACCAACAAAATCAGACTTGGCTTTGACTCTGGAACTCTGAGTAAATGTAGGAAAGCCGAAGTCTCAACCTGGTGTTGGCTTTGTCTTTTGCTTGATAAAGACTTCCCTCTTCCAGGTCTTTATCTCTGTGTCCACCCTCCCTCTTTACTCCTTGATGCTTGGACTTTAGGTGCCTTTTGTCTCGCCTGCTCGGTTTATGCTCGGATTCTAGCTAACAGGTTGGTTCAAACTGGGGGGCTCTTGCCAGCTACTGTGGACTGCTTTAGATTTTCTGAGATAAAGAAATAAACACATTTAATTAGGCAATATTAATCTCATAACATATGCTCCTGAATACATATATGTAATATGCACATGTATGCAGTATATTCAAATGCACACAGTAAAATAAAGGATATTGAACATAAGCAAATCCTCTTGGGCGGCGGGTGTAGAAGTCAAGTGGAATGTAAACGTCTACTATAGGGCCATACCGACCAAACTCACGACGCAAGTCCTCAGGCCTGAATTGTTTTAGAAATAAGGCAAAGAAACATGAGTAGCTGGATTAAAATATCATGCCTACAGAAATCCAGTTGAAACCCTCAAAAGAAAGTACATCATCTGTACTAGCGTTACCTAAAAATATCTCTCAGAAGACTCACCCAGGGTTCACAAATGAAAGGGGGGAAAAAGAAGAAAAATTTTTGGGTCTCACTTTCAGAGATTCTGATTCAAGAAATCTGGATTAGAGGCTAGAAATCTGTATTTTTACAAGCACTCCAGGTGGCTGTCATGCCTACTCAGGTTGGAGAAACAATGACCCACATCTACCCCAAAGTTATTCCTATCACAAGATTTTTCAATGGTCATATAAACAGTCCTAACTATTAACTATCAATATTTCATTAAGAACATACTTATGTGCTTCATTAGAATTTCATATTTATGTTAGATCTTGTTTTCAGAGCACAAGAATTAAAATTTTAAAAAGCCTAAAATCGCCTGTCCACTGAACAGTGGTTGAATATCAACCTATGAACCAGGAGGTCACGGTTCAATTCCCAGTCAGGGCACATGCCTGGGATTGCAGGCTTGATCCCCACTGTGGGGCGTGCAGGAGGCAGCAGTCAATGACTCTTTCATTTATGTTTCTATCTCTCTCTCCCTCTCACTTCCTTTCTGAAATCAATCAAAATATATATTTAAAGAAGTCCTAAAATCATTTCTCAGATTTTAAAGAAAAATGGGTATTTTTACATTAAGCATAAAGCATAATAACTACTATATTCTCAAAATTGACAAGTAATTTTGAGCCTTTTATATGCCTTTTACTGTGACAGATATTAAAGAGGAGATACCGAAGAAATACATAGCATATTTGTCTTCATAGAGCTACAATTTAACTAAAGAGACAAAATACTTAGCATTGATATGTGACAGTTATGGTACATCTATAAGCTAGCTTCTGTTTGCCTTAACACCACTTAATTCTCACAACTCCATGGCTGTTTACAGATGAGGGCACAGATAGATTAACTCACTTATGGTCACTGAACCAGCAAGTGACAGACAGAACTGGAATCAAACTCCTACAGTTTGACACTAGTGTGTGTTCTTTTTTCTTTTCTCTCTTTAAAAAAAATTTTTTTTTTTAATTCATTGATTGATTGGAGAGAGAAAGAAACATTGATTTGTCAGTACACTTATTTATGCATTCATTGGTTAATTCTTGTATGTGCCCTGACCAGAGATTGAACATATAACCTTCACATATCAGGACAATACTCTAACTGAGCTAACCAAAACTGTGTATTTTTTTTTTTTTTAATGTTTAGGTTACTCTGCTTTAGTTTTTGTTTTGTTTTTTAAATATATTTTTATTGATTTCAGAGAGGAAGGGAAAGAAAGAGAGAGAAACGTCAATGATGAGCGAATCATTGATCAGCTGCCTCTTGCACACCTCTCACTGGGGACTGAGCCCGCAACCCAGGCATATGCCCCTGACTAGAATTGAACCCAGGACCCTTGAGTCACAGGCTGACACTCTATCCACTGAGCAAAACCAGCCAGGGCTCCTTATGGAAATCTTAAGAAATTCAGCATCAAGCTATGGGCACAAAACATGGCTTTTATTTTTATAAAATACTAGAGGCCCAGTGCACAAAATTCATGCATGGAATGTGGGGTGTCCTTCAGCCCAGCCTGCATCCTCTCCAATCTGGGACACCTCGAGGGATGTTAAACTGCCCATTTAGACCTGATCCCACCAGGATAGGGTCTAAACAGGCAGTCGGACATCCCTCTCACAATCCAGGACTGCTGGCTCCAAACTTCTTGCCTGCCTGCCTTCCTGATTGCCCCTAACTGCTTCTGCCTGTCAGCCTGATCACCCTCTAACCACTCCCCTGCCAGCCTGATTGATGTCTAACTGCTCCCTGCCAGCCTGTTTGCCCCCAACTTCCCACCTCGGTCGGCCTGGCCACCCCTAACTGCCCTCCCCTGCAGGGTTGATCACCTCCAACTGCCCTCCCTTGCAGACCTGGTCCCTCTTAACTGCCCTCCCTTGAAGGCCTGGTGCTTCACAACTGCCCTCCCCCGCTGGCCATCTTGTGGTGGCCATCATGTGTCCACATGGGGGCAGGAACTTTGACCACATGGGGGCAGCCAGCTTGTGTGTTGGAGTGATGATCAATCTGCATATTACTCTTTTATTAGATATTTTTATTGAGTTCAGAGAGGAAGGGAAAGGGATAAAGAGATAGAATCATCAATGATGACCTCAAGTCCACATTGTTCCTATAGTAACAGCAGAAAGAAGCAGCTGTGAGGAGCATGTCTCCTAACAGTGAGGATCTGAGCTATGTGCAGGAACTCCCATGAATTGAGACTTTTCATTCTGTTTTATCAGAGTGCAGACAGGTCTTATTTCAGGAAAAGTAAAACAGTCATTTACAAAAGAAAGTCAATCTGTATCCTAAGCATTTTAATAAAAAGTTAAAACAAACAAAATTAAATAAATAAAAAAATTTAAAAAAAGAAACATCAATGATGAAAAACAATCGACTGGCTGCCTCTGCATGCCCCTCACTGGGGATCGAGCCTGCAACCCTAACATGCGCCCTGGCAAGGAATCAAACCGACAAACTCCTGGCGAATGGATCAGCCCTCAACTACTAGGCCACAGCTGGCCCTTTATAATTTCATCTTTTACACTTCAACTGGTAATCCAGCTCAAATTATGATGTGAACTACAAGTTAGTTAATTTTTTCCCTTTATGGATATCCAGTTATTATGGCATCATTTGTTTAAAAGACTTTCCTTTCTCTACTAAATTGCTTTCATGCCTTTGTCAAAATCAATTGACTCTGTAAGTGTGGATTACTTATGAACTCTCTATTCCGTTCTATTGATCTACTTGTATATCCTTAGGCCAGTATCACACTTTCTTGATTACTGTATCACTAGTAAGTCTTTAAGTCAGTAATATAAGTCTTTCAGTTTCAGTAACCTTTTTCAAGACTCTGGCTATTCTACATCCTTACACTTTCAGAATTAATTTGTGAGATTTTATATTTTAAAAAGCCTGTGATCAGGAATGCTTTGAATTAAAATATAATTAGTTTGGGAGAAAAATTAACTCAGTATTTTGTGTTCTAATCCAAGAACATGGTATATCTATCAATTTATGTTGGTCTTATTTATTTTTATTTTATTTTTTGAGAGAGAGAAAATATCAATTTGTTGTTCCACTCATTTATGCATTCACTGGTTGCTTCTTATATGTGCCTTGACTGGGTTTTGAACCTACAACCGTGGTATACTGCAATGATGCTCTAACCAACTGAACTATCAGCCAGCACTTATGTTGGTCTTTTTAATTTCTCTTGGCTATATGTTTGGTTTTCAGTGTAAAGATTTGTTGTTTGTTGTTGTTAATCCTCACCGGATGATATTTTTTCCATTGATTTTTTTTTTTTTAAGAGAGTGGAAGGTAGGAATAGCAGCGGAAGGGAGAGAAAGAGATTGAGGGAAAGAGAGATCACTGTGAGATACACATTGATTAGTTGCTTCCTATACACATCCTGATCGGGGCCAAATCTGCAACCTAGGTATGTGTCCTTAACTGGAAATTGAACCTGGGACCCTTTGATACTCTAACCAGTGAGCAACTCTGGCCAGGGCTAATTTGTTTTTTTAATTTGCCTCATGGAGGGTTTTTAAAAAATATATTTTATTGATTTTTTTATAGAGAGGAAGGGAGAGAGATAGAGAGCTAGAAACATTGATGAGAGAGAAACATCGACCAGCTGCCTCTTGCACACCCCCTACCGGGGATGTGCCTGCAACCAATGTACATGCCCTTAATCGGAATCGAACCTGGGACCTTTCAGTCCACAGGCCGACGCTCTACCACTGAGCCAAACCGGTTTTGGCTCAGGGAAGGGTTTTGAACTTGATTCCCTATGTGCCGATGGGATGAACACCCAACCTAGGTATGTGCCCTGATGGAGAATCGAACCAGTAACCTTTTGGTATCCTGGATACTGTGCCAACCAACTGAGCCACCCAGCCAGGGCTCACTGGTTGATTCTTGTACATGCTCTGTCGGGATGGAACCCGCAAGTTGGCATATGGAGGTGATCTTCTAACCAACTGAGCTATCCAGCCAGGGCTCAGTGCAAAGTTTTAATATTTTGGTTTTGTTAAATTATTCTTAAGTATATTTTTGACATTAAGATAAATGGAATTTTAAAAATAATTTACTATTTTCAATTATTTGTTGTTAATATATAGAAATAGAACTTTATTAAGTTTATCTTGCATCCTGATATGTTATTAAGACTGATTATTAGTTACCATAGTTTTATATAAACAAACATGTCATCTAAGAATAGGGACAGGTTTTACTTCTACCTTTATAATTTTTATGTCTTTTATTTATTTTTCTTGCCTTGCTGCACGGTTAGGATCTGCAATAAAATGCTGAATGGAGGTTGTGAGCATGGGCATCCTTGTCTTGTTCTGGTATCAGTGAGAAAGCATTCAATGCTTACCATTAATATGGTGTTAGCTATAACTTTTACATAGGCTGAGTATGTCCCCATTTATTCCTCGTTTGCTGATACTTGTTGAATCCATGAAATCTTGTTGAATTTTAATGTTTTTTTTACATCACCATCAATGTTATCATCAATATAGTCTCATTCACTGTAACCAAAAGAATACTACTAAGTATGTCCAAGAGAGGTACCTACTGATCATTCCTCCCAACCTAACATGATAATTTTACATCAAAGTGGGAATGTTCTATTTGGGATTTGGACATTACTTTGTTCCATTAGAAAACTGTATGGGAGATTTTTTTAAAAATTACTCTTCTACACAATAAGAAAGCAAAGATATTAAAATTAATATTCTTCCTGATCCATCTCTTGTTTTAGTAGTGAAAAAAAAGTAACAAAATTGTAAAGCATAAAAGTTTGCTCTGAAAGTAGAGCTTTTTTTCCTCTTTTTATATTTTTATTAATTTCAGAGAGGAAGGAAGAGGAAGAGAGAGAGAGAAACATTAATGATGAGAGAGAATCATTGATTGGCTGTCTCCTGCACACCCTGCACTGGGGATCCAGCCTGCAACCCAGGCATGTGCCCTGACTGGGAACTGAACTCTGACCTCCTGGCTCATAGCTCGACGCTCAACCACTGAGCCATACCAGCTGAGCATAAAATACATTTTTAAGTCTTTCTTTAGTTCTTATGTTCAACTGCATTCCTAACAAATTTTATGCTAACCCATTGTGTCTCTTAATGTCTTGTCCTTTATCACACGTATTTAAATGGCCACTTCAAAGAAACATTTTAAATACATTTTGGCTTTGTTATAAACACTTTTACTAAAGAAAATTTGAAAACAGGAAAGAGAAAAACCGTGCAAATAGATTTCTTTCCAGGCTTATTTTTTATATGTATTTTCTCCTTTCCTCATTTTTAGGTAATTAAAATCATACAGTATACATCATTTTATAACATTGTTTTATTTTCACATTTACCCCAATGATTTTCTTTATAAGCATCCTAAATGTTAAAGCTAATTTTAATGTCTAATGTCATACTGCTAATTAATTCACACTATATGCCACCTTGTATAAAAAAGCTATTAGTATAGGTTACATGTGTGATTCTACTTTAATAACACTACTCAGCAGCTGTGCAATCTTAGGCAAGATACTTAATCTATCTAATCCTAAATTTATCTGTAAAATGGAATTATTAAGAAACATGTATTATACATATATTGTGAAAATTTAATTAAGATAATATATTAATAGATAGTGTTTAGTATAGCATCAGGAATATAGCGAGTACTCAAAAATGTTAACAATTGTTATTTCATTAATATAATCCTTCTACATTTTGATTGTCCCCCAGTAGCAGAGTTAAGAAGTGGTGAAAATGGAAAGGAAAATCAATAAACCTCAATTATCAGTCTTGATTATCTAGATTAGAGGTCATATGTCACCTGCAGGTCAGGTGTCACCTGTAACATGAGTTTTATTTGGCCTGCACAATGTTTAAACAGTAAAAAAAAACACAAACCAAAACCCCTGTTTAAACATGAAACTGCCAATATTTTACACCTTTTATTTTTTAATTTTATAAGGTTTTTTACATTTATTTCACAATAGATGTATAATACATGTTTCTTAATAATTCCATTTATAATTTGTCTTCTGCCAAACTGAAGACAATTGCCAGGAGGCAAGATCTCAAATGCAGTATTTTACAGCTTTTAAATCTACAAAAAAATCAAATTTCATATGCTTTAACGTAATAAATCTACCATTTTGAAACAGAGCATTTACACAGACAAAATACAACTTTCTGACTTCTTTTGAAAATTAGGAAGAGATGGCAACAAGTCTAATTTCTTATTGTGTAGAAGAGTAATTTTTAAAAAAATCTCCGATACAGTTTTCTAATACAGTTTTTACTAGTCTATATACTAGAGCTTAGCAGCAGAGCTGTCCCCAGGAGATGGCACATCTTGTTACCATCTGTACAGTCCATACCATCCTGTTGTGTCTTACAACCCGACAACTTCACTCATTCCTGTTACCTGGCTGGCCCCTGTGGCCATTAGAATTGGAAACCGCTAATTTCTGTAGACACACACTCTGAGGAGACACGATGCTTATTCAGTATTCAAGGAATCTGTTTAACTGTGGTGGGTTTTTGTTGTTGTTGTTTGTTTGTTTGCTTGTTTGTTTTTGTGTGTGTGTTTTACCTTATCCAAATTATAAAAGTTGCTTGTTTTCCCTGTAATGAATTGATAAACAGGTTGAGAGAAGAAATGTAAGCACAGGCATCTTTTAGAGATCAAATAAGGTATATTAACTCACTGTCTGCAGTTGTGACATATATAAAAGTAGGGCCCTAACCAGTTTGGCTCAGTGGATAGAGCGCTGGCCTGCGGACTCAAGGGTCCCAGGTTCGATTGCAGTGTGTGCAAAGGAGGCAGCTGATCGATGTTTCGCTAGCATCAATGTTTATAACTCTCTATCCCTCTCCCTTCCTCTCTGTAAAAATAAATAAATAAATAAATAAATAAATAAATAAATAAAATCAATACAATAAATATATATTAAAAAAATAAAAGTAGGCATCAAATTTAAAAACACTTAACATTTGCTCCTCAGAGGTAAATTGTGATGACAAGAGGTGGCTCTGGAGTGGAGGACTCCCATGTATCTGTCTGTGAAGGCCCGGGTAAGGCATTTAAACTGGGCTCTGCTTTCCCCTCTGTGCAGTAAGGTAACACCTCTGAGGTGGCATCTCTACGGAGGCCGGGGTGGGGGCAAACCCCCTCGGGCTCCTATGGAGGAGAAAGGGCTACCTATAGGAAGAAGTTACTTGTTAAGACCTATGTTTGGGCACCATGTGGACAGACTTCTCAGGGGGTGGTGGTGGGCAGACTGAGAGCATCCACAATGGACCCGCGAAGTCCATGCAAATCCTTCATAACGGGGGTTCCTACTGCAGTCAGAACTTTAAGGAAAACCCTATACATCTCACTATGGGAGTTATCCTCTGCGTACAGTGCAAAACGGAGCATCGAACGAAACCTAACCCGCAGCCCTGCCAGGAGACAGCCTGCGGGAGGGAGCCGCGGCCCCAGGTGCGCGTTCTCCGGCGCCGCGTCCCCATCCCGCGTCCGGGCGGCGGGCGCGGCCACAAAGCGGCCCAGCGCGGCGCCGCTCGGCCGGAGCGGGAGGCCCGGCGGCGGGGCGGGGCGGCCCGCGGTCCCCCGGAGGGATGGGCACCGCCGGGCGGCCGGGCGGGCGGAGGCGCGGTCCGCGGGGCGCCGAGCGGCGCGGGCTGCCCCGCCCGGGAAGCAGCGGCCGCGCCCACGGAGCGCGCGGGGCCGGGCCGGCGGGTCCCGAGGCGCGGCCGTCCCCCGCCTCTCCCCCCACCGCGCCCCCACCTGCGGCCGCCGCCCCTCACCTGGTGGCGTCCGCGACGTTCCTGACGAACAGGGAGGTGTTGGGGGGCCTCGTGTAGCGAGACATGTCCGCGTCCTCCGTCCCGCCGGGCCTGCCCGCGGCCACGTCCCGTCGCCGCCGCCGCCGCCGCCGCTCCGCGGGCCCCGCGCGACCCCCTCCCCGCCGGCCCCGCGCAGCCGCAGAGCGGGCGTGGGGGAGGGGCGCGGCGGCCGGGCCGCGGCCGCGGGTGGGGCCCGGGAGCCCGGAGCTCGGAGCCCGGAGCCTGGGGCGCTGCGGGCCTGGGCCGCGGGGTGCGGAGTGGGGTGCACGGGGCCGGGAGTCTGGGGGAGGACCTAAGGCGGGGCCTGCGGGAGTCGGGTCCGCGGGGATGCTGGAGGGGGCGGTGCGGGGTGCTGGGGTCCCGGCATCTGAGAACGGCGGCGGGCCGGCGTGGGAGGCCGGGAGGAGTGGGCCCGGCCCGGCGGCCGCCCTGGGTGCGGGGGCTGGTGGTCTCCCGGGAGGGGTCTTCAGGCCTGGTGGTCCCCAGGAGTCTGCGTGGGGCAGTGGGTGTCAGAGGGTGCAGGAGGGGAGGCCAGGGGTCCTGGGTGCTGAGGTGGGTGAGCCGGGCTGGAGAGCATGGGGTGGGGAGAGGGAAGGTGAAGGTGAAGGAGGCGTGGGGCCTGCCTTCCCCTCTCCCAGCCGCTAATTCTCAGCCCTGGACCTAGGCGGTTCTTCTGCCAACTTGTCCCTTCAGTCTTGAGCCTTGACCCTTATGTGGGGAGGATATTTCCAAGACCTCAGTAGATGCATGGAACCTGGGATAGCACCAAGCCCTATGTATACTGTTTTTTTCCTCTTATATATTTATACCTATGATAAAGTTTAATTTATAAATTAGGCAGACACAGTAAGAGATGAACAATAATCTGTATATATAAAAGGTGACTAACCGACCGGCAGGTACATAGGATGTGCACTGGCAATTTAAAAATAAATGTTGACTCCGCATGTGAGATACATATAAAGCTCTCACCAGTGCCAATTGCACAGTATGTTTTGATCTGTCATTGTCGATCATGAATTTGGTGGTCCTTGTTGACATTCTGAAGCTGAAAGAAAGCAGCGTTATCAGAATATGTCTGAACACCAACTATTGGCATAACTGTCCCCGCCTGACACGGGTCTCCCATTTAAATTAATTCAAAGACAATTTCCCATGATGCCAGCATTTGGGATAACTATTAATAAATCATATGGACAAACTCAAACTGAGAAGGAATATTCCTACCTGAATCTGTTGTTTGGACATGGTCAGTTATGTATTGCTCTCTCTCAAGTTTGAAGAGCTTGTGATGTTAAAGTTGTAAATACTTCATCACAAGGGAAAGTAGGCACTCTAAAAGTGTATTGTGCCAATAGTTGGTCTTCAGAATACCTATGAGGGGCCAGGTGGCTGCATAGCATAACTAACTTTTCTTCCATTTCTTAAATCGACATAAGTAGGCTAATTATCAACTGTAATTAAGGTGTCAAATCATGAAAGACTAGTATGTTTTAAATTCATTAACTTGTTTTTTTACTATCATAGTGGAGAACTAGAACTGTATTTCGTTATGCATAATGAATTGAAATTTGTGTGATGTAAAGTATTTTGAAGGTAAAAATTTGAGATTAATTTTTCCCCCATATTTAAGTCATCCTAGATAATAAAAAGCCAATATGCAAATTGACTGATCAGCACACAGGGCAGACCTCAACACAGGAGCTGCCCTCTGGTGGTCAGTGCACTCCCACAGGGGGAGCACTGCTCAGCCAGAAGCCAGGCTCACCACTTGTGAGCAGAGGAAGAGGTGGGAGCCTCTCCTATCTCTTTGGCAGCGCTAAGATTGTCTGACTGCAGGCATAGGCCAGCTCCCTAAGCCATTAGTTGGACATTCCTCAAGGGCTCCCGGACTGTGAGGGTGCAGGCTGGGCTGAAAGGGCTTCCCCCTGCCTCTCACGTGCACGAATTTCAGGCACTGGGCCTCCAGTTTTTATATATCCTGATAGTGAATATCATCTTATGCTCTGAATTCACTCTCCAACAGATGGCGCTAGCTCTCCTCAAGTAAAAGCTGCTCTGGCCTATCCTTTTTTTAAAGGTACTATGACCTTGAAGATGAAAAGTGATGTGGTTGTCTAGAATGTATAACCATCCTTCTGTTGCCCCTGCACTTTGGTTTATTAGACATCATTCCACACAACCCAGTTGCAGAATCTATGGTGTACCTTCTTATGAACTTGATTTCTTTCACTGTAGCTATAGCAAATAACTTTAAAGTTCATTTATATGGTAATAATGGATACTATTTAGCTTTCTCATTAAAGTTAGTTGAGATAAGGCCTGTCGCTAAACATGACATTGAAAAAAAATTAATTAAAAATGACATTGGATCTTGAGAATTTGGAGGTGGGTGTTTCTTCCTAACTTAATTTGACAACAGTTTAGGGATGATGTGCTGTTGTTAAACATAGCACTTGGAACTGGAAATGAAAAAAAGTGATGCATGCCTCCTAATTCTGAAGGACCTAGCCCAATATTTCCATATTTAAGTCATTTTTATATATCCTTTGAGGTTTTTGCCATAATATACTTACTATTTTTTTATAAATACTTTTTTAAAATATGTATTTTATTGATTTTGTACAGAGAGGAAGGGAAAGAGATAGAGAGTTAGAAACATCAATGAGAGTCATCAATCAGCTGCCTCTTGCACACCCCCTACTGGGGATATGCCTGCAACCAAGGTACATGCCCTTGACCGGAATCGAACCCCGGGCCCTTCAGTCCTCAAGCCGACGCTCTATCCATTAAGCCAAACCGGTTTCAGCTATACTTACTATTTTTTAAAAATTAGCTTACTTTTACATTAAAAGAGCGCTTTTTTAAACCAAATATCATGTGGAAAGAGAACATATAAATTCTGGCCAAATACTTTGATCTATAAAGTTTCAAATCCGAGACCTGCTCTTTCTTTTAAAGGGGGAAATTATTGGGGTGGTAAACACACAATATAATATACAGGTGATGTATGGTAGAATTATATACATGAAACCAGTATAATTTTTTAACCAATGTCATCCCAATTGATTCAATTTTAAAAAAGTGAAATTAATTACACAACAGGAAGCTACTAAAGCTATCCTAGGACCAAACTAAAACTTTCTCCCCAATGTAAAAGGGCAGTAACTCTTATACTATGCAATTCAGTATTTAATGCTTCATCCGTATAACATGTAAAACCATGGATAGTACCATCATCGATGGTCAGTGCCCTGTACTTTTGGGAGACATTCTAGCTCGAAAGAGACATGCATGTAAACAAATCATTACTGTACAGTTTCACTAGTGCTACATAAAGATATTTCAGAGTGCTATGTAGGGTATGATAGAAACAGATTAGTTATCTATGGGAAAGGGAGACTGAAAGTCATTTTAGAGAAAATTGATATCTGAGCTATTTATTGAAGGATGAATATAAATACCAAGAAACAGAAAAAAAACATGGCATTTGGGGGGAGAGTGAACTAGATGAGCACAGGCACAGGGTAGTGAAAGTAGTATGGTGTGCTGAACTTTAGGGGAAGGAAGAATGAATGCTAACAGGGTTGGGATGGAGGTTTTGAGAGGCTCTATCTGTATACCGTGCCAAAGAGCTTTGGCTTAGTTCTATTGGTAATGGGATTCCATCAAAAGTTTTTAAGCAGGAGATTAGGAAGATCAGATCTGTGTTTTATAAGGATGATTCTGACAGAAATGCCAAGGAGGAAGTTCAGTACAAGCAAAGACTGATACAGCAGATCAGTTAAAAGGTTCTCCCATGTGATATATTTTTCTCTTAAAAAAAAAATGTTTCGCTGAGACCAGTTTGGCTCAATGGATAGAGCGTCGGCTTGGGGATGGAAGGGTCCAGGGTTCGATTCTGGTCAAGGGCATGTACCTTAGTTGCGGGCATATCCCCAGTAGAGGGTGTGCAAGAGGCAGCTGATTGATGACTCTCTCTCATCGATGTTTCTAGCTCTCTATCTCTCTCCCTTCCTCTCTGTAAAAAGTCAATAAAATATATTAAAAAAATGTTTCTTAAGTCAGACAGAGTAGGGCAAATACTGTATAGTCTCACTGATATCTGGAATCCAGGAAATAAAAAGCCCTGGCCTGTGTGGCTCAGTTTGTTGGAGTGTCATCCATGCACTGGAAGGTGTCAGATTCAATTCTCAGTCAGGGCACATACCTAGGTCCAATCCCTGGTTGGAGCCAGGAAGGAAGACAACAAATCAGATCCATGTGTCTCTCTTACATTGATATTTCTCTTTCTCTCTTCTTCCCTCTCTAAAATCAATAAAAAACAAATTTTAAAAATTGAAACTCATAGATACAGAGAACTGGTGGTTGTCAGAGATGAGGCTGCGGTGTGGTGAGAAGGGGAGGGGTGAGCAAAATGGGTGAAGCTGATCAAAAGATACAAACTCCCAATTATAAGAAAATAAATCCTGGGATATAGTGTACAGATGGTGACTACAGTTAACAATACCGTAATGTGTAATTTATTTTTTTTATTTTTTATTTTTTTAAATATATTTTATTGATTTTTTACAGAGAGGAAGGGAGAGAGATAGAGAGCCAGAAACCTCAATGAGAGAGAAACATCGACCAGCTGCCTCCTGCACACCCCCCACCGGGGATGTGCCCGAAACCAATATACATGCCCCTGACCGGAATCGAACCCGGGACCCTTCAGTCCGCAGACCGACGCTCCACCACTGAGCCAAACCGGTTTCGGCCCGTAATGTATAATTTAAAGGTGCCATGAGAGTAGATCTTAAAAGTTCTCATCAGAAGAAAATGAAAATGTGTAACTATGTGTGGTGATGAATTTTAACTATACTTACTGTGGTAATCATTCTGTAATATATACATATATCAAATTATTATTTTATACAGTGAGTCCTCACTTATATCCATAGCCTCTGCAACTTTAAGTGAAACAACACATAACAAAACCAGTTTCATC